TATTTTTGAACTTTATACTGGAGGCAGTGTTCACATTCCATTCAGTCTTTTACAGCACCAAGAAGGGAGAATTAGTCAGCTGTTCTTTGTTTTTATTTCCCTGACTCTTGAGCAGGGTCCAGGCTTGCTCCTGAGGTTTTTCATCTGGATCAGTCTGAATAAAACAGATTTTCTCGCAACTGAAAACCCTTTATTTGTGAAAGGTTATGATAACCAAAAGAAGCCAAGCTCCCCTGGTTTTTGTTTGGGGGGTGGGATGGGGAGTGTAGCTGGTTTCCTGCAGCCCCGTTCGTATTAAAGTGGGTTCATAGGACATTTGTTTTAAAACAAAACAAAAAATGAAGGCTATCATGTTTGTGCCTTAGCAGAGCATGCCAGGATGCTGTTGCTAAGATGATGCATGCTGATTGTGGCATAAATAGTCATTTGAGCAGACCCTACCCTAAGGAGTTGAGTACCAATCCTTTTGCTCCTGTATAGGAACAAATCAATTATTCTAAGGAGGCAGTGTTGTCTCTCGGTGCTGTTGTGTTGCTTTTTGAAAACGTTTTGTAAGTTAGTCCTTAAGTGGGATAATTGCTTTCAGCATTTGCAAGTTAAATGAAGAAAGCTCTAATTAGATTTTATAAAGTGGCTTAGCATGTTGAGAAGGCTTTTCATAAAGTATACTGTGTATTCACTTGGCGTTGCACAATTGGATTTCGTGTAGCACTGACGAAACCAAAAAAAATCCTATTTGGCCTTGGTCACTCCTGGGTGCTTAAAGGATTGAAAACCTGTCTTGGGTACTCCTAGCTATACATACTCTGTTCCTTTCCCCACCATCCCACCCTCATTGGGGCATTTATCTGTGTTTTAGAGACTGGAGGAGACCAACCTGTTTGAGGAAGGATATTAAGAGTAGAGCATAGGGGCTTGGTATTTTGTAGTGCTTGAAAATGGGGCCGTGGCACATACTGTTTAATCAGTCTTAGCCGTTATTATGCTGTGCTAATTGTACGGTGGTGCTGGGTGGCAGAGAGCCATTTTGTTCAGGTTAGTCTTAGCTCTGTGTGGGCACTTATTGAGTTCCACAGAAACCGAACAGTGCCCATGCTTAGTAATCTTTGGTATTGTTTGGTGGCCTGTAGGTTAGAAATGTGATATGCTAATGCTTTACTATTGCCATTGCAGCCTTGGCATGAGTGGAGGGACTGGCCAAAGCAGTGTAACACATTGCTTGCCATCTGAATAAGGACTTAGCCTAGTCACAAGCTGCTTTCACGTGTGGTTTCTGCAGCGTGTGTGCCAGGGGCTTCCTGACGAGAATTGGAAAGAGTCCCCAAAGCTGGTGTTTGTTCAGATCATTTGGGCGCTGTTGCTGGTGTGACTTACTAGAGTCTATTTTAACTCTCTTCGGGAAGTAGCATGTCAACTAAATCAGTCAATCAGTTCTTGAAGGTTCATCTGCAAAAATGTAGATCCCATGTGCAGACAACTTTGAAGACAATTCAATGAATCTACATCTAAAGTACAAGTACTTAATGAGATCTTGCATTGGTTTGCTGTGAGTTCAGATAACCATAGGAGCAGATAAATGGAAATTGGTCAAAGCTGTATTTTCCTTTTCTGCTTGAGAAGGCGTGGGGCTGTTTAATCTTCTCTTGTGGTTATCAGTGTGCAGGTGAAACTGTCTTTATTACCTGCAGATGTGTTTGGGAATGGCAGTTAGTGGGTTTAGAGGGGTAGTAAGATACTTTTTGTGTGTCTGCAGTTTATCTTTGATGATAAGGCCCAAATTTGAATAAAGCTACAGAGATGTCTAGTAAGATCCATTCACCTTGGGGTGCTAACTCATGGATCTTCAACCAGCCTCCATCCTGGGGGACAAAAGGTCCCTCTCCTGATCTAACCATACTTGATCTCTTCAATCGTAGGTTAGAGAGTCATGTCTGTCAAGGTCAATTTTTCTCACTTGTTGCTTATAAGGGGTCAAGGTTTTGAACGCTTCTGGAATCAATAAACTCTGTCCCATTTGAACTTGGTGGGTCACTTTCTCCGTGACAAGTTGTGGCAGTGCGTTCTTTGTCTGAACAACAGGCTTGCTATTGTAACCACATGAAGTACACATCTTTGGATGAACATTCACAACCGCCCACGGGCTCTTGATTCACTTAACCACATGTGCCTTGAACTGTTTTATTCATTTTCAGTGTCTGCCCATATCTGTCTTTGGACTTTGTGTCCCTCTTTGAAGTATATACATGCTACAAGGATGTCCATGGTCAAATTGAGTAGCTCTTAAGTGAACTCAGATTTAGTCCTTTCCCTTCTGCCTCAAATGTCAAACCAATGTGTAGCAATGTTTAATGGAGTTATTTACTCATGTTGGTAAACATGTACACTAAATTGGAAACTTTTGGCAGCTCCCATGTGATCTTGTAAGTGATAGGCAAGAATAACTCTAGTTTTCTTGGGGAAAAAATTAAAAATTGGATTAATTTTTCTCTATTATGCGAGGTAGTTCATGCTATGGTAGGCTCTGCAAGTTGATGAAATTAAAGTTCTTAAGTGAACCTGATGAAGTGATGAAGTTTCTGTGCCTGTATAGATAAAATGGTCAATCTTAAAAACTTTAGTAGCTCTTTAAAAAAGCAGATATTGCTGTGTCAGATGTGACCAATACATAGATCAGGGACGAAGATACTTTTTCCTGAATTCTTTTCTCATTTTAACATAGTCCTAGGAGCTGAAATTTGTATGTTGTATACATAGTGAGTGTAGTACCAGTGCTCTTGATGCCAATGGCTTGAAACTGGTATTGTAGGGTCTAAGTGTCTTAGACTCATGTCTGTACGTAGACAAACGTCAGCTGAAGATGCAGCTTTTCTTCAAGACAGGGCAGGTCTGGAAATTGGTAAATTGGTGATTTATTCCTGAAAGTGCCAAAGATGTTACTTGAGCAAATTTAGTAGTAGTTACTTTAGACCATGGAGTGTGTAGAGCTGAGGGAGTGGGGGAAGATACTTAAATCAGCAGGTTCAATTAAAAAAAATGAAATCACCTGACAAATAGGGGAGAGCCAGGAGGCACAGGTAGGTCTTACTGTTTTGTCTACAAGGCAGCTGAGCCAAGGCAAATACGTGCTCTTTGGCGGGGAAACAGTGGCTTATCCTTAAGTGTCCCAGCTGCATAACTAGAGATGGACTTTGTCGGCTGGCGTTACTTTCTTATGAATCAGGGGCAACCTTTGTGACTACTCAAGTGAGTACTTTTCACGCAAAGAAACTTCCCTTTGTGTTTGGAACAGGGTCCTTTGGAAGATACTGATTTATATTTTCTAGGAACAAGATAAAGTATATTGTTGTCTTCTCTGTCAACATCTTCCATGTGACCAAAGGCAATGAATGAACTTTTGCCGCATTTCAGGATTTTATGCTAATGTTTCACTTCCATCGGTATTTTTTTTTTTCAGAAAAGAAAATTATCTTAATTAGCATGAAGTAACTAATCCTCAAAGCTGTAATCTTTTGATGACATAATGCTTCGTATTTACAAAATATGAACAATTATGGGAGTTACTTTAAACAGTTTCCAGTAATTCTTCTTTAACCAAGAAATTGAATTCCATAATGAGTAGTAAAGTTTTGACTACAAAAATATGTTTCCTTTAATTTTTTAAAATCCAGTTTAATGAAATGTGTTCCATCAGTGTATTTTAAGTTTCAGTAATAATTTCACTGTAATTTTTTACATGAAATGGTACAATTATGAAGATTTGTTTTCTGTAAAGATGGTATTTGGTAGCACTTGGAGCAAATACTGTGCTATTTGGTGTGGCATGACTACTTTTCTTTAACTCTAGTTCTTCTAATAAATGGTGATTTATGTTACATCTTTTCCTAATTGTATCATCTTTAATTTTTGATTTAATTATAGTAATATTTTTTTTCTTTCATACCTCAGTCTTCTGTACATGTGGTCTTTTTTGATCACTTGAAATTTACGAGTTTTTATGTTGGTTAGTTAGCCAGCCTTATTCTGGCATCCTTATTTCTAAAGTGCCAAAATTATACAAACTGAGGTCAAATAAACTACAGAATTTATCTATAAGCATGATGCTGATTTTTTTTTCTTTTTGTCTGATCTTTTGCAAATAAGACTCTGCACATAATGATTTCTTGTATTCTGAAGTAGCGAATCATGCCTCAAGATGAGTGTACGATGGCTCTCAAAATTAGATTTGGGAAGGAGAAGGGAGACTGCCCAGTAATGCGTAGCATCGTTGTAATGTTACTGAATCAATTACTGCGTGATTTAAGTTGAGCACTCCTGGATGGATAAGCGCATAATAATTTGACAGGGGCCCTCTGTGTTTGTCTTGAGGATAACTCATGGCAGTTTTGCTTACTGTGGGGAAACTTTCTTGTGGTGGGAGCCTGGAGTGGTCATGTCTATTTGTGAAGGACAGGGAGTGCTTTTGTTACCTTCAAAGACCCATTACGGGATATGATTGCTTGTGGGAGTGTCTCGTTATGATCTGTTAGAAAACAGCCTATTAATAAAACAGAGGCTCTTGTAATAGAGCACTTCTTAATCTTCTTCCTATGTAGTTATTTATAGGCTGTGACATCTTAATTTGCCTCTCATGTACATCAACTTCTGTTATTTTAAAAGATCAAGTAGCTTTCACACGCCTCTGAGAATCACTTCTAGAGGAAACAGTCTGTTTTCTGAGGCATCATACAAAAAGGCTTCAAGTCATAAGTTTGTTGTAAAAAATGTACTAAGGTAAATTTTGCTGGTGTCTTTCTAAAGGACAGAAGTTACGGAATGTCCTGTTATATAGATACTTACCTGTTAATCCTGTATTTGTCTGATTGCAAGCAGCATTTTCTTGAGTTCTCAAGATTTCCAATTCCTGATCGTACTTATTTACCCTTAGTGAGCACGCAGTGACCTACCTGGAGCAATATTAAATATATTATTCTTTTTATTTTTGTGGTCTTTTTCTTTATTAGAGTGGTCCCAGTGCCAGATCTTGTCACAAGATGTGCATTGACATTCAACGAAGGCAGATCTACACGCTGGGACGCTATCTGGATTCCTCTGTGAGGAACAGCAAATCTCTGAAAAGTGACTTCTATCGCTACGACATTGACACAAACACATGGATGTTACTAAGTGAAGACACTGCAGCAGATGGAGGTCCAAAGCTGGTGTTTGATCATCAGGTCAGCTCCACTGATACTCTTAGTGCAAGTTCTTAGTGTTTGTGAATCATCAATTTTAATTGTAGCCTCCTGCAATGTAGAAGTGCTGTACCAGGTAACACAGCAGTGATGACGAAGTTAAGTGAAATTCTAATAGCCTTGTTGTCTAATGCCGCTGACTACTGGTATTCTCATCAAATCGAGTCAGAAGAATCATAAAAACCTTCGCAAACAAATTCATTTTATTAAGACACGTTTTATTAAAGCTCAAAGCACAGTTCATCTGGTTTTAATCAGTTGTGTTGAGCTTGGTTTGCAGATCTGCCTGGTCAGAGGGCGTTGGGGAACAACTTGCGGAGCTGTGTATGGTACCTTTGGAAAAATAAGCAAGTTGCTGAAATGAGGCCAACAGGGTCAGGATTCTTTCAAATTTGGTTATCTTTAAAAATTTGTACAATGTGCTTGCTTTGTAGATATTCAAACACCCTTAGAGGAGTGGCTACTAGTCTTTCAAAAAGCCACACCTGTCCATGTGTTCTGAGTGCTTTTTTTATTTATGTTGTGTGTTAAATGCTTTTTTGTGTACTTGAAAAAGGCATTTTGTTCTTAACTGATTTTTATAAAGCATGGCCAAAACCCAGCACATCAGTACTCATTTTTAAAGCAGCCTAAGAGCTGGTTTTATTGGTGCTAGCTGTTTTGTAACTAAAGCTGTTGTTTGCCAGCACAATATTTGTTTCTGCTGACACTGAAAATTAAAGATACATGTTGTCTGCAGAACGAAAGCCAATCAGTCTTTCTGTTCTATTAATAACAAATACCAGTCTCCCAGGTGTTGGGGAAAAGGTAAAAGTAAATTGTCAGCTGGCAAGGCTACTCTGAATACCTTGTTTGCCTGCTTCTGAAATGGTTTCCTTTTTTCCCCTGCTGTCTCCTAGGAAAGAATGTCCTCCCTCAATTCTTTATCAATCTGCAGCTGGTGCTCTTCTCTCCCTCAGTACCTACTGCGATAGCGGTTTTTGTTTAACCTTCACAAAAATGTGCTGCACTAGAAGTGTTTTGTGTAGACTTTGCTGAGTAGCATCTCTATCTTACTGTTATCTTGTCTGGTTTGGAGTTTGGTGGTTGGCTTGTGTGTTTGTGGTTTTTGTGGGGTTTTTTTGTTTGTTTGTTTTTTTTGTTCCCCTCCCCACGCCCCCAGCGTTTTGTAACGCTCTGCATCGTACTGTGTCTGAAAACATCACCTGGAGTTCGGGGAGTTTTGTTTGATTTGTACTGCAGTGGATCTCTTGTGTGTCATAACCTGAATTCAGGTTTTGGGAATAAACGTATTTCTGCTGCAGTCTCATCAAAAATCCTTGGCCAGGTTATGCCCCTACTTTATGTTGAAGTAACAGAAGTAACAGTAAAGTTGAAGTAATGGAAGTAACAGTAAATGTACAGTCAGGCTGGAATCTGAGTAACAAATCACAGGCTGGTTTTTGGATCGATTGAGTGGTGATCAGTAAATTAACAGTGATTTTGAATTTTTCCTTTGCATAGCCATTGTCAAAGGTGATGTTATTCTGTTAACTTTCTGGCAGAAGTAACTGTGGATCCTAGTGAAAGAATCTAAACTGTTTTTCCCTGATATCAGCAGCTAGAGGCGAGTTTTTTTAGGTGATGAAGGGTACATCCAGTTGTCTTTTTTTTTCTTATTAAATAGTAAGTTGAAATTAGACTTGCATTTTAAAGTAATTTTCTGAGATTAATACATGCTAACTGTGAAGACATATGTGTTGTTCTCTGTTTATTTGAGGTTTGGGAGATCTGCAGAGTATTGTCTAACTTACCAGGTATCACCTGCAGGGAAGGGATGTTTAATCTTAAATCTTAATGTTCAAGTCTTAATGTGCTGGCTGAAAACTGCGTTTATCCTTACAGATGTGTATGGATTCTGAAAAACACATGATATATACCTTTGGAGGCCGAATCCTGACCTGCAATGGCAGCGTTGATGACAGCAGAGCCAGTGAACCCCAGTTCAGTGGATTGTTTGCTTTTGACTGCCAGTGTCAAGCGTGGAAACTTTTGAGAGAGGATTCCTGTAATGCTGGACCTGAGGATATCCAGTCCCGAATAGGACACTGTATGTTGTTCCATTCTGTAAGTATCCACACCATACTTTGATTTATGATGCCTGACTTTAAGGAAAACATCTGGTTTTGATTTTTCTTGCAAGTTTAAAGCTCTTTAATCTCCCAAGCGATCTGTTGTCTCATTTGATTTTTATGTTCGCTGACTTTCTGATGCTTCTTTGGTAAGTGCAGGTGGTATTAATTCAAGTCTTGGAGCTTTCATGACTTGAACTGAATAAAATGTCTAGTGAAAAGCCAGGTGAATTTTAAATAGTTGCTTTTATTTGAATAATGGTAAATAGGCCCAAAGACTCTGCTTCAATTTGATCTAAAGAGTTTTCTTTTAAAGTTGGTAGAGCAGCTTAAAAGCTTCTGGTGTAGTAGGTACCCTGTGTAGTTACTAGGATGGTAATAAACTTGACTAGTGTAGGGGCTTACTGGGTGTGTGTCGAGATGCATGAGCCTCATATTCATTTGTGCTGAGCACCCAGCTGCTGCTTGGTGTCTTGAGCAGCTGTTAACAGCTGGGCACAGATGGCATCACAGGCACTTCACCCAGAGCCTGATGGAAAAGCAGAGGGATTGGGGGTGGTTGGTGTCTAGCGCTTTATGTGGTGTTTGGTATTAAAAGAACCACCTTGCATTGCCTTTCCATGCTTGTCAACCACGTGTTTTCTTAAGTGCAGAACATGGGAGCTGCAGGGTGAGGGTGGTAAAGGGAGGATGGTTAGTGTCATTGATGTTCTGGGCTAGGGTCCATTGTTGGTGTTTTCAGTGGAATAACACAATAAAGAGGGGATCAGCATCAAGCAGCAATACTTGCGTAGGTAGACATGGTGCAGTGGCAGTTCTGCACTGAATTTACATGGCAGCTTCTAAGAGGTAGTAAGTTAAGCTTGTAGAGTTTTGCTGACATTGAACTCCGTCTTGGAGGTGGGGAAGAACTAAAATGAATGTTGTGGCATTCAAGTGTATACTGATACCACCAATTCAAAACTGAACAGTTTGAACAATTTACTGAGTTTATTTCTCTTTCCCTTTCAAATGAAAGATCAGAATTTTTATAGTGAATACTGTGCTTTTAGAGCTTTCAGTATTTTTGCTTTGGATGGTGCTCTGATATCTGGTGAAAAACATTGCCACACAAATTTTTGCACAAGCGTCTGAGGATTTTTTAAGTACGTGTCTGTGGTAAACATAAGAATACTGGTTTCTGTAAGCGTGGGCCATGGAAGCTTAGGTCCTTTGCTGTTTTCTCAACCATTTGAAAGAAAAATAATCTGCCTCTTGTGGACTTCCCACTTGGCAAACTTGAAAGAAGTAACAAACCTGTTATTCTTGGCTTGCTGCTTGCCATTTGCCTGTTTGGAGTTTAGTAATGTGCTGGTACCTGGATCATTTCTCTTACAGTCTGTCTTTTGTTCCTGGTTTGTTGGGTTTTTTTTGTTTGTTTTTTTTTTTTTTTTCTCTCCACACTGAAGTTATGATCTAATGGATTTTAGACATAGAGACTCTTAATTCTTTAATTTTAAACTGACAAATGAGTTGTTGTTTAAATGTTCTGAAATTATAGCTTGATCAGGCAGGGTTACAATAGTTATGTGAAGTCTGCCTAGTCATTTTGGAGCTGAAACTCTGCTGGATCCAGGTTTGTGGTCTCATACAGATCATGAAAAAGAAGTCTTTAAAATTGTATTTGTAAGAGGCTTTTTGAGGTGGAGAAGCTATGAGCCCTTAGTGGTTTACTCTTGAAATGGAGAAATCCATAAATTCAAGAATCCAGTCAAGAATTCTTAAGTTTTCACTGAGTTTGAGAATAAATACACTGTTCTGCATAATTTTTCCTTGTGAATCTTTGTGGAGATGACAGTAATATTTTTTATTTTAACAAATTAATTTTAACAAATTAAGAATGATGGACTTGATAGTTAAGGCAGGATTTTAAACTTACAAGAAAATGTTACTCTTTGTTTCATTAATGTTTCTGTTAATGATCACAGTTGGCCAATATACTTTCCTGAGCTTTGTAAAGACATACTTTTTTCCATTCTAGAAAAATCGCTGCTTATATGTATTTGGTGGCCAGAGATCGAAGACTTATTTGAATGACTTCTTCAGTTATGATGTGGACAGTGATCACGTGGATATCATATCAGATGGCACTAAGAAAGATTCAGGGATGGGTAAGAGTATAACTACATATTAATTTCTTCCTGTTGGTACAAAAGAGAAATATATTGTAAAGTAGGTGAAAGGCCAGCTTCAGTGTCCTGTGGTGTCAGGTTAGCATCCTTAACTAGCCCTACGTACCCAAGTAAACTCCTCAGTATATAGGTTAAACTTATGCCAGCTCTTTTGTCCTTCCTGTCATTTGAAACTCACCATCTTCAGCACAATACAAATAATTGATGTGTGAAACCACATAGCACCTCAAAAGAAAAAAATTTCAGCAAAGTAAGAGCTAAAAATACCTCCTTTGAAATCCCAGCAAAGACAAAAAAAGGCTGAAAAAATTATTTTATTTAAACCAGGAAAGGTGAACGCATTTTTTTTGTCTAGTGTTCACCGAGTAAAAGATGCCATAAAATAGAAATAATCTGTTTGGTTTGAGATGCAGAAAGGCAGGTAGGATGCTCAGAGACAGAGAAGTGGAGTAGAGGGATGGAGGTTATTTTGCCTGGCAGGAGCTGAGCAGAAAGATGAGACCTGTTGTCCTGCTCTTCTGTGCTAAAATATAGGGGAGGGGCAAAAAAAAAGGTAGGAGGAGGGAGCAAAGCTTCAGTCCTATTTGGTTCATACCACTGGAACTAAATACACCAGGCATAGCTCTGTATACCAGAAACCTCTAAAAACAACCTAACAGCAGTGTAATGTAACCATAAAGAACTGATTTTATACCTTTTCTCCTTAAATGACATGGAGAAGACTGTTGTTCTTTTCCAAAAGGGATTTCTGCATGTATAAGCACATCAATTTCCTGTTGCGAATATCCTGATTCTCCACATACAGCTCAGAAGTTGAAATTTGTGTTACGCTGTGTACTACTATAGAACAGAAGTTAACGGGGGTTTTTTCATATTATGTCTATCTAGTCCTGATGTTGTTTTCTCTTCTTCCAGTTACCAAAATCCCAGGAAACTAATTTATCATGAATTTAGGCTGCCCTCCTTATTTTGATCAGGCTTAATTTTTAGCAAGTAATTTTGCTGAACTTCTGAAGTGAATTATTGATGCTTATGAGTTATTGTTTGCTCATTAATTTAGTTATGCCAGTGAGGGAGAAGAGTACCCAAGCTCTTATTCTCTGGAGTCATTTATTTACTTGAGTGCTTCCAAGAAAGAACCAGCTTGTATTGTTGACAGTCTCCTTTATTAAGGTGCCTGCATGCTGCCTGATGCTGCTCTACACACACCCACGCACCGTTTGTTGTCCTTAGAGCTTTTCAAGAAGTGATTTTTCTTTTTCTCCGTAAAATTGCTAGCATTCTGCCATATTGCTTTTTTTAAAACTACATGTCTTTATAGCCAGAAGCTTTAAAACATGTGGCTTTAAGCTTACACCTGTGTCTACTTCAGATTTAAAGATCCTGAGCTTGCTTTATGGTTGTAGAAGACACTGAGTGCTGCTTCTCAGCAAGCACATGAACTGCAAGGTTCGGTTAAGCAAATAAGACTATAATATTTAGCCCTTCTTCCCATTCCCCCAGGCCCTGAAGTGGTGAATAGTAGACTTTGTGAGAAAATGACTCATTGGAAATAATACACGAGTAGATTTTCAGTTTACTGTTCTCTTGTGTGTAGAAAGTAAACAGCTACGAACATTTCCCTTGCTTCTGAAAGAAAATGCTAGGAATATTTGCATTTTAACGGGAAGAGAACAAAATGCTTGTTACATTCAGACAGCAAATGCTGACAGCACTATTTTCACCCCAAAAAGCAAGTCATTATTGTGATCTTCTTAGGTAGCGATACACCATTTTGATCTGTAGGAATAAAGTGATTCCCTGACTGGTCGCTGTGAAGTTTTAAGCTGCTCAGAGTGATGAGTCAAGTTGACGATGCCTGACCTAAATGTTCCTATAAAGTCCCATGATTACATTTTGTTCCTGGCTCGCATGTGGCATTCAGTTCTATTCTTAGTTGAGCTATTTTGATTTTTACCCTTTCTAAAAGAACTTAATTGTGCATTTGTTTAAAATTTCCATGAGAGTAGTGAGAAGATCTTTTTTTAAAAAAGTAGTAAAATGGGTACGTAAGGGTTATCGGTAATACGGAGTTGTTGCAGTGCTATAAAACTACGGTAATATGTTGGTTTTTCTGCCCTCATCTTCTGCATGAGATATTGATGTTCATTAGTGTTTCTTCGCTCCTAGTTCTGTCTTCGTTGATTCTGAAACTGATTCCTTTTATAGGTGATGTATTTGAGAATATTGGGTGATAAGTATCACTTAAATTTTCTTAATTTGGACTAAAGGACAATAGTTGCAGCAAATTTTGACGTCTTTTATATTTTTCGGGAAAGTTCAAATTTGATCAGGTACAATTTCTAAACATAGGTTTGCAGACAGCTTTGCCTACTAAAAATGTCTCCTGACTCAATTTGCTTTGAAACACAGCTAAACCTTGGAGCTCTTTGTGTCTGGGAAATGCTGTTTGCCACTGAGCATGGGTGTTTTCTCCAAGTCATTGCAACAAAATGAGTCTGGAGCACAGGTCTGCTGGGGAGTGGCTGAGAGAACTGGGGGGGTTCAGTCTGGAGAAGAGGAGGCTGAGGGGAGACCTCCTGGCCCTCTGCAACTCCCTGCCAGGAGGGGGCAGAGAGGGGGGATGAGTCTCTGGAGCCAAGGCCCCAGCGCCAGGCCCCGAGGGAATGGCCTCAAGCTGCCCAGGGCAGGGTCAGGCTGGCTCTGAGGAAGGATTTCTGTGCAGAAGGGGCTGTTGGGCGTTGGAATGGGCTGCCCAGGGCAGGGGGGAGTCCCCGGGATCCCTGGGGGGGTTGAAGAGTCGGGCTGAGCCAGCGCTGAGGGATCTGGGGGAGTTGGGAACGGTCGGGGTGAGGGTCATACTTGAGCTGGAGGAGCTTCAACTGAGATGATTCTGGGATTCTGTGGAAAAAACCTGGTGATTTCTCTTTGCTGTCAAAAGAGGGCACTACAGGGAGATTAGGCCATTAGGAATGGTTATCCTTCTGCTCTGTGATAACTGTTAGGAACAAGAAATTTGTTAGTTCAGCTAAAGAATGGACAAAATGGAACTGAGCAATAGAGATTGCAGCTGTGATAATGCGTCGGATGTGAAGAAAAGCTGCAGTGGTACAAACTGGAGGAAGTATAGTACAACTGGGTAGAGCCTGTGGGTGGAGGAGAGGCAGAAGTGTGTATGTTGATGGACATACCCTTTTAGAGAAGTTGTATGCTTTTAATTACTTTGAAAATAACCCCCAAACCAAACAACAAGAACAAACCTCACAGCCCCAGACCCAATGTGCGTATGCCAGAGTGTATCTGTGGAGCATACATGTGGTCTGGAGATGCCACCAGTATCAGGTGTCTTCAAAAGGCTGTACTGACAGCTTGCCTGACTTGCTTAGCGCACAATCCATGACTAATCACGGACAGTCATTTCAGGTCTACGGGAGCTAATGGGAACACTTGTGGTCAAGGTTCCTGTGATAATCCTTTTTGGCCCTGACTCAGGTGGTGTCAGAGCTGTTGCTCAGGGGGGGAGAATTTCCCTTTGCAAGAGAATCGAGATCGTCTTATATCCCTTGGCATTGAGTAACTTCCAAAGTCAAATGACAAGATTTCAGTGTTCTCGTGGGTCCTTTTAATAGTGAAATACTTCTTATAGGGAAACTGCAACTATTTTTTTTTTTTAGCTACCAGTGAAGATCCTGTGTGTCTTGCTTGGGCCGGTGCTCATTCCAGACACAGAGCCGTGCACCTGGCAGACTGGAGGTTTCATGGACAAAGTACCACGGACAGAGGCGACACAGTCCAGTCCAGGAAATCCTGATCTAAACCAAGATGTAGTCAGAAAAACATTATCAAAATAGATAGCAAAGGTAGCTCAACATGGCCCGGATCCAACTCGAGAAAAGCAGTCTGAATATCCCATTCTGATCATCTGTTTGTGACATCTGACATGTGTTGCCCTTGTTCTGTTTAAGGTCTGCCTTGCCAGTGGCCAGTGTGTGTCTCTTGTCATGGAAGCATTTTATCTTGTGAGGGACCTTATGTACTCTTCATTTTATGAAGTGTGTCTCTGAACCAGTCTCAAAATACTTTCTTCTCACAGTGAAGGTGAGGAGTAGAGTGGGCAGTCACCAGGTCCTAAGGATGCTTTACAGAAATGACATAGCAGCAGAATTCCACTCAGATTTATGAACTGACCTGTTTTTTTTCCCAAAAATCTCAAGTTGCTTGGGAGAGAACTGAGCGTTGGGTGTTGGGTTGTTGCTTTTTCAACATGACAACCACACTGTTCACATGGTCTCCTTAGCTGCTCCTTGGCTGACTGCCAACCGCAGTCTCATCATGAAAAATCCAAGAGGATAATCATTATCTTGCTGTGTCAACAGCTGGCCTGTATTCTATCTCTATCACTCATCAAGGTTTGCTCCATTAAAGTTCAGGGGAGATGCTGCTTCAGTTTTATATGGATTACAAGCAGCAGTATGGAGTAATTTGCTGACCTACTGCTTTTTTTTTTTTAAATTTATCAATCAGGGAGGTGCCAGGTTCTGGTGAACAGCAATATCCATGTGATGGAGCTTTCTCCAAATTTTTAATCACAGTGCATCACAAGGAGGGAGAATACTTGTGAGTCACTTGTAGTGGGATTAGCAGTAACGTGTTCTGAGGGTTTCGTAACTTAGGTGGCACTAAAAGGCTGTCAGTGAACTTGCTTCCCTTAATTATCCTTCACAAATCCTTCTGAAGTGGTCTGCAGACTCCAAGTTTTATGTCGTTATTTTGCCAATGCTGTGTTTCAAAACATGCTGTAGTATCCCCTCAAATGTGAGAGATGAGATTTAATTTCCAAACTTCTGTCTAGTAACTGTGAGAACCACATTTGTGAACTCCTGATTTACTTCTCTGCAAACTCTGCCTCTGTGTAAAAGCTGTTTTCTTGCTTAGCTACTGGCAGCAACCAACATTGTGCTTGAAACAACTGTAGCTGTTTGCACGTATGAGCCAAAAAATATTTAGCTTGCTGAAATAATCACTATGACCAAATAAATGCCAATAACTAAGGGCTGTGGTAGTGGGAACATACACATTTCACAATTAGGTGTCACTTTTGTAGAAAAGCTTTTCCCATGCCTTATATTTAAATGGAAATTATATTGTACAGGGTTACACAGCATCTTATCGAAGCTTTCTCAGGAATTGCCACTTGTTTATGTAACTGGCTGCTAACTCAAGGCCTGTGTAGCTGAATATGGTTTTCAAATACTGAAGCCATGAGCCTTTTATTTTTGCTATATAAAAATAAATGAAAATGTTAAGTTCTGGAGAGAGGATTCAGACCTCTTATTTTCAATTAGTTACTGCCCTTCTACCCTGGACTGGTTAATGAGATTAGGGGAGGAAAAAATGCAGTAGCACAAGAAAAGCATTCACCATCTACTAGAATTTTTGGGATTGTATTGTGTTTAGTAACTTCTCCTCTCTACAGCTCTTCCCCTTCAATCAGTAATGTATTGTCATAGGAGCCAAGTTACTGTGGCATAGCAGCAGGCCAGTGCCCTGTCCAAATCACCAGGGCTAAGTCTTCAGTTGCTGTTTTATGTCCTTCAAGCTGTCTGCTGGCCAGAGTGATCGCTGGGCCTGAGAGATGCTCTGAAAGGTGTGAAATTGGTGGAAATTTGCTCCAAAGCTGTTTTTCATCTACATCTATATAAAGAAGCAGAAAAGTGAGGGAACTTCTATGGAGCCATTATAATTCACCCCTTGGATGTAGTACATTGGAAATAATATTTCTTGCAGCACACTGGCGTTACCACGTCATATTCTCAGCCCTTATAGTTTATGGCATTTGACTTAAAAATAATAATTAAAAAAAAAAGCAAAACAAAATATCCTAAGCAATCGGTTAACCATCACAAGTTCAATTTTGTCTCCCATGCAGAATTAAATTTCCTTCCCAACGTACATTTTTTTTTTAGCAAAGTATCACAAGTACTTTTCACAAGTTTACAGCCCGTGTCCCTCTCTAATATGCTGACCGCAATCATTTGAATTATGTCCAGCATTTACTGCAAGTCTGCTGCACTTGCAGATTATGAACCTCTCTTACCCCCTAGTGGAAGTGTTTGTCAGTCGTGAGGAATTTACGTAGTCCTTTTGCTCTGTCAAGGATCTGACTTCCTTGGCAAACATCTTTTTGATATTTCTGTTGTGTTTAAAATAACACAATATCTCCCTCTTTAGTTATCCTTATTTTCTATTCATTTTCAGGGACTTGTTTACCAAATTCGTTGTCTTGCATTGTTTTTTTTTTAATCATATTTCATCTAATCTTCTAGTTTGGTCTTCCCCTATGAACGACTAGATGACAACTTTGTCTAGCCTAAGGCACTACTTAAATCTGGTTTCTACACAGTTGCTTAGATAGGTCAAAGAGTTTATGTAAGTTGCTCTTCATCTTAGGCCCTTACTAAATGTAGGGATATATAATTTAATGTATTATTTTTCTAGACTTCCTGCATTTCAAATAGTCTCAAGAAGACATTCATTTACAACTGAGAGAAGCCTGAAATTACTTGAACTTGGTTTTGATTGCAGTTGCTGCAGATAAATTCTATTCCTACTATCGAGTAAAAAAATAGAGGCACTGAACTTTGGCAGCTTTTCCCTCCTTCATTATTTAAATAATAATTTCAGCTTCAGGAAATCAAGCATAAACTAGATACAGAATTCACTTAAGAACATTTCGGGAGGAGGGATGGGACGTCCATAGACAAGTTTCATAAGCTTTCTGTATCGGTGGTAATATAGCAACTGTATTCCCCATGATTATCATTTTCATTTCAAGGAGCCTGAGGTATTAATGCTCTGAAGATTTGCATGCTTTTTTTTCTGAAAACCCAGCCATGGTCTTGAATGTTCAAAGCAGCAGATAGGGTTGCAAAGACATTTTCCATGTACATTAGCATTGCTGATCAAATTTAGATGGCTCTCCTGCCAGAAATGTCTCAAATATGCCTTGAATTTAATCCGTTTGGGTCAAGAATTTAGTCCCTGACTATGCAAGCAAACACATTACATGATACTTTTCAAAAATTAATGATATTTAGTCTGTAATTTTCCTTTTTTGTTCTCAGTTTCCTTATTGGGCGACTTTCATAGTGCTTATTTAAAAACTTCCTTGTGGTTTGTAGCTAAAACAAGGTATGTAGTTGTTGTGCCAGCATTGTTCCCTGCTTTTTTTTCCCCCTCTACTCTGCCACCAATTTGCTTATAAACTAGGTTAGTTTTCCTTTGAAACTTCATAGCAAAACTGGAGGTTGAAATAGGGAGGCTTATGCTGGTGAGGGTTCCAATGGCTGTGCCTCCTGCCTTTCCTGTAAAACCGTAAGCAAGGATTTAGTCGAAAGGACTCTTGAGAATGAATTATCTAAATATATTTTAGTTTCTCCTTAAGTTTACGTAAGAATTAAGCATTTTAAAAATTTTTTTTAAGAAACATTTGGAGTTTTTTGGCTTTGTTAAACATTTCAGTCGGGGCTTAAACTGTAGAAAAGCAAATGCTGCACAGAATTTTTAAAATTGATGCTTATTACTTTCCTGGCCTACCAAACGAGAAGAGTGAAGTACAAGACCAAAACCTATTAGAGAATGGGCTTGCAAAATACCGTTTTGTGTGTTCTTAAACAGCAATATTAAATGGTTTATTAGCGTAGGGCTTGTTTTCTAAGCTGTGTGTGCAGTTCACAGTTAATTGCAGGGAAGAATTTGCAAAATACAAGAGTTCTGAGAATTTTTCATGCCAAAATCTTGATCGAAGGCCAGGAACCTTTACCAGCCTTTGTAAACTGACCCAGAAAGAAAAATGAGACAAACAGGATCTGTAAACAAAGATCACGTGCCCTTCACAAATACATTTTGGAAGGATGGTTGCCTAGGGAAACAGGAAATAGGGAATTATACAACAAACAAAAAGGACTGCCAAACAAATTTGCTGACCTTTTTTCGGGGAATTATGATGAAAACTGCTGGAATCTTCAGTATTTCACCATATTTCTAAATCCGAAGGTGGAACAGAAGAATAGCTTGGTAATTATACCCTAACTATTCAGAAAATACAGGAAAATTCCTTGACATCTTTGTCCTAAAGGAAGCAATGCAAGGTTGTGAGCGATGTAATTTTGAGTTCATTTTGAATTTTTCTGAATTTCCCAGATCTTGCAATTAAGCTTTTTGGAACCAGTGCTTCTTTTGCGGATGAGATTATAACAAAATCACTCCATTCATATCTGCAATGGTCATCTAGCTCTATCTTCAGGTAGCTTATTTCTAAGCTGGTAGTCTCCCAAATAGCTCTGTCTATACCTTTCCCTGGGAAACAGCAGATCTCAAAATGGCTTTTGTGCTTCCGTGAGTCACAAATAGGAAGGAAAGAGGAGAATTTGTGTTGGACTTATCCTTAGCAGGGAAGAAGTCAGCCTCTGGATGATGTTTGTTCCTTTCCTCCCTTTCACCCTGCTTTGAAGGTCATGTGCAAGAAGCAAATTGTTTGCTTGGTGACTTCTTCACGCCTCCTATTTTGAGATGTGTCATTTCAGTTTTAAGTTGTGATAAATAATGAGATGGCTGTGCAGGAGTGGTCATAGAAAATACCAGCTTGGGATCACTCAGTCTGTTGGGTTTGGTTTTGTATGAAAGGTGAAGTGGTGAAAGTAATTAAGAAGAAGAAAAGGGGGTAACTAGGTAGTGAGGTTAAACTTCAGATGCTCTTTATCCCAGAATACTGAAGAGCTAGTTATGTGAAATCTCATGTTTGCATCATAGATATTGGAAAATCTGCTGAATTGCAGGGGAAGGGAAATGCATTTGTCTGATGCTTGGATTCTTTTTTGTATCCTCCACTGTTTTCAGTGTGTAACCTTTTAACTTTTTTTTTTTTTTTTTTTTGGCAGTTCCAATGACAGGCTTCACTCAAAGGGCTACCATTGATCCAGAACTGAATGAAATCCATGTCTTGTCAGGGCTCAGTAAAGACAAGGAGAAGCGTGAAGAGAACGTAAGGAATTCCTTCTGGATTTATGACATTGTGAGGAACAGCTGGTAAGTCGATGAAAGGGGTGCTATTTCTAACATCTAGGCTGACTTTCTTTAGAGAGCAATACTACACAATCCTATCTCCCAGGTAGTTCTATAACCTCTTATAACCATGGAATACTAATGAAGACAACTGAGTTCCCTTGAAGTTCCCTTCTCTTTTACCCCTAGTCTTTAGAGACACCATGGCAATAAGCCAAATGAGGGAGAGAGAAATCTTATGAACTTCTTTACTGGAGGCAGGTGGGGAAGGGATGAGGGGAAGTAAGCCTTTATAAGAATTTTTTCCTGTAGGAAATGCTTGAGACCAGGATTCCTCATCAGTGCAGCAAATTTAGTCAAACATCAGTTAATAGCAGCATACATGGTACTAGTTATTAGAAATTAAAGTATCTGGTCTGATGTATGAATGGTGATGGAGAAGTCTTCATGCTAGATCTGTCAGCTCTGTCCAGGCTGCCTGCAGTGGTACTTCAGGTAGCTGGTAGATCCACTATTCTGAGAAAATACCTCCTCACCTATTTACTGTGTTGTATTTGGTAGCTGGTTGCCACTGTCCCTTTCCAGAGCTGGCAGCGTTTTTTGTATTTGTAAGATCTCTTCTAATGCGAGGCAAACCTCTTTGAAAGGTGTGAAATTTTTTTTTAAATGGATTTTGAGTTACAACTTAAGTCTGCTTGGAAATCAGTGATTGAAATACTAGCTCTGCTGTAGTCTGTGGCCTGTAGCTCTACCGTGTCCATAATGAAAAATACTTCATGCTGTCAGTTTTGCTAGCAAATAATACAACATCTAAAGATACCTTCAAAGCTCATGACATAACATTTTCTAGAATTTTTCTTATTTGACTTGTAATTGAGGACTGTGTTCAGCCAAAATGACCTCCTTTGATTGTTGGATGGGCTTCTTTGTAGAGCTAAGAATGGGATGCCATAATAGAGGACAGTATACAGAGAAGCAAGAGAATCTTTGGTGTTATATGCCAAGCAGTTCAAATTGACATCAGCTGTACCTTATAACCTTTCAGTAACTTCTACTTCCTGTAGGTACTACTAATCATCGCTTACTGCCTTGTATTTCAGGTCTTGTGTCTATAAGAATGACCAAGCAGCAAAAGAGAATCCAGGTAAAAGCCTTCAGGAAGAGGAGCCCTGCCCAAGGTTTGCCCATCAACTGGTGTACGATGAGTTGCACAAGGTATGAGGGTCCAGATACATAGACAGGGATTTTTTTAATCATACTGCTCTTAGGGTATAGTTGACTTTTCAAAGATGATATAATGAATATAGCTTTTTGTACAGTGTTAATGTGGTGGGTAGCTTTCATTGAACTTATTGTCCTCTTTTGAAATGAGGTGCTAAGCTGCTTTTTATGTCGATGTGAAGTAGACGTGATAGCTCCTAGATGAAATCAAAATGCAGACAGTGGGATATGCTAAACCTCTATAAAGTTGTCAAGTGTCTAGCTCCTAAATGTTCTCATACTTGAGAAGATTTGAAGCTTTGTTCGTTATTTTCAGGGACTTAATCTCACGATTTCTTAGCGAATAAATGGTCACAGATAGTTACCAACGTTTCTAGGACAAAGTGTGTTTGATGAACTAATCACTGTTAAGAATCTGATCTAACAGGGGTGTCTTACTTCGCCCTGTATGTCAGAAGCAACTGTCAGTCTTTAACACTGTGACTTTAGTGGACACATTCATGCTTAAATAGACTTAAAGTTGTTTATAGTGTACATGACGGCTCAGTAATCGTAGGGCTTTGTATGGTTAACCAATAAAGCGTAAACCCATGGGTTAGGTTACCATAACGTAGGTTATGGTTACCATAACATCATTAACCTATGAATTCAAATTACAGACACACTTACTCAACCTTTCATGGATATTTTGCAATTAAAATAAACTTTTTTCTAAAATTTCTTTTTAATCTGAAACAGTGTGAACTGAAAAAGACAAATATACTTTAGTCTTATCATTTCACAGGATGTTTATCACTTTTGAGAAACCTAACTTGCCCAAAAGTTTGTGGATGAGGGGGATTTTAAGGAGCAATAGGTGCAACTTCTGTATGGAGAACTTGTACTGTTTGTTATGTTCACACGCTTTAATGATAGACTGTAAATACTGTTCTGCCTTTAATGGCTTACTTCTAAATGTAAGGTACCGTGAGATTGAGAGTAGTATTTTGTAAGTTATTGTGAAGGTTGCTAAATCATGGCAGTTGCCCAGCTTTATCTGAAGGGCTATTTGATGTGCTTGTTTTGAAGAGTCTTATTTTTAGAAACTGCTGTTCAAATGACCTTTCTAAACTCCTCTGATATAAATAAGGAGAGCCTACATCAATGGGATGCAGAATATATTGTTTTGAGTGATTATTTTTAAAGCTGTGGAGAAAGGTAGCCTGTTGGATTTCTTGAACCTGAGTATTTGAAGACCCTTTGAGGCATGTTTAATATCAACAGTTCAGAGTCTGAAATACCAAACGATGTGAAGAAATAAAGAATCCTTTTTTAACACTTCCACTTTCCTTGAGGTTTGCCTCTCTCTAAGGTGTCGTATCCTGAAGCTATCAAAATAGCTATTAGACTACTTCATTTGAGCTACTGTGAAGAAAAAATGAATTTTGCATACAGGTATATTTAATATTTCCATGATTGGCATCTCAGGATTGCTAGAACTTCTTCTGAAGACAGTCACAGTAGTGGTTGTGACTTCTGATTGTAGATAAGATTGTTTTCTTCCTCAGATCTTCTCAGCATTACAGTTTTAGCTTTTTGTTTTACTCTCTATCCAGTTAGCTCTTTCCTTTGTGCCCGGGTAGTGTATTGAGTGTCTCGCAGCTAGGCTGCTATATTGAGGTGAGACAAATCTGCCCTTCCAGAGAACTATGGAATTACTTTTCTCTGCAAGTCAAATTCAGGCTCTGTAGAGCTTATGGGACATGTCGGGGGACAGGCCTGTTGGTCATCTCCCAAGATTATGCTGGACTGGGCTTGTTGCCACTTTACTTAGAGCATCTTTGGGACTTCCCCCTTGCTCTGCCAGTGGCCCGTGTCTTTGGGCAAGGTCCTGGTCTTTGCTGACTCAAGGAAAAGGCTGCTTGTCTGAACCGTGGTGCTTTAGGAGTGCAGCTTCACCAACAGTGCTCTGACAGGAGCCAGAGCATCACCCTGCAAAGTCCCTTTTTTCTGAGTCTTCCTAACAAGCATAAATGTTACTTTAAAGAAAATGTGTGATTGCTGGAGTCATCTTACAATTATGTGCAATCTACTCATCCCCAAATTAGAGAAAGGCTTTGTACAGCTTCCTTAATTTAGCTTCTCTCATGACAAAGAGAATTTGGAGTCTTTGAGGACAAGATTGGAGAAGAGGTTGGTAATCCATCAGTTTGGGTATCGTTTGCGTCAGGTATTTTGAACAGGGCAAAAAGAGTTGGTTCAGATTCTTCTTTTCTGCTCATATCTTAAGGATTTATCATGCTCATAGGTTTTTCCTGAAGAAAGCGATTGTGTGGTTTGTGGATTTTCCTTTATAAATATCTTGGGAATCTGCTAGAGGGAGGTTCTAACAGTGCAGCTTTTCTTATTATCTTAAAATGTAAGCAGTTTAAGAGAACTTTGTTCATATCCTAGGGGACAGAGTAAGGCTAATAATAAAATGGAACAGCTTGTCTAAAAGGCAGAGTTTTCTCCCTCTAGAATAAACCTCCCCAAAGATGCTGACATAGTAAACAACATTTGTTTAACGGATGTACACAATCAACTTTTTGATCTGCCTCTCATTTGCTTAGGTTCATTACTTATTTGGAGGGAATCCTGGTAAATCCTGTTCTCCAAAGATGAGATTAGATGATTTCTGGTCTCTGAAGCTCTGTCGACCTTCAAAGGAATACCTGTTAAGACACTGCAAATACCTCATAAGAAAGCACAGGTTAGAAACAAAAAGTGGTTTGCGATTTTCTTTTCCAAAGTGTTTTTTGGTTAAGTTGCTAAAACTTGAATATCTTGTAAACTGTTTTGGGAAATGTCACTTCACTGCTTGTTGGCCTGCCGGTTCTTGATGATTTCTGATTTTTTAAAAAAATATTTTGATAATAAAAAGGAGGGCTAAACTGTAAAATTAAATTAATTCTGGTTTTACTACGTTATTGTAAAACTAGAAAAATCTGGCTATTGTGTGGGGAGTCGTGGGGAATTTTTAGATTCCCTTTTCGCTCTGCTGCTCATCAACATGTGTTTTGGTACTGTCACCTCCCAAGGAAATGGAGTATGTTTCTGAAACACTGCTAGGAGATAGTAACAGCTCGCAGGGATGCTAATGAAGTCTGGGGGCTGGATGCCTTTGCACATCTGAGACTCAACTCTGGTGAGGTCATCACAGTTTCTCATTCAGAATCGCTTGAAAGATCTCAGTTATGTAGAATTCAGCTATGCTGTGATGCTTCTTGCACTCTGGATGTTTCAGAGCTGCCTTATATTTGCTCTTTAGGGCAATAGCTTTTCAAAATCAAGCTCATGGTGTTGCCTTAGGCAAGAAATTGCAGCAGTGAGACAGCCTTTCAAGACCCAGCAAATTATTTGAAGCCAATAAATAGCGCTTTCTGCGTTCTCGGTGAGAATACTTTGTTATCAGGTTCTGCCAAGAGTTGGAGGTCAGTTTTTACTGATGGTATTTTACTTCTGAGGCAGCAAGCAAATTGCTATACTCCATACACAATCACTGTGGCTGGGTGAGGTCTTTTGGAGATTAGCCACGCAGTAATGCGAACACCTACAAGAATGAATAAAGGTCTTGTCCAGTGATCTGGGAGGCTTATTAGACTCGCATATGGTTGTATGCAAATACAGTTGTACAGCCTCCAGAGACAGCTCTGTATTGTTTGTTTTTCCTTTGCTTAAATTGCACTCAAAGGAGATGTTGCTGCCTGTTGTCTGGCAGTAGCCTGGGGTTTGTGCACCATTCTCCCATTTACTGGGGTCTGCATGAGGAAGCCAAACGTGACCAGCCAGGGGCTGGTATGGTGGGTGCTTTGCTGGAGTTCACGTCCCTCTCGGGGCTGGTGCTGAGCTGCTGTGGCATCACTTGGCTGCCCGTTATCTGCACTCCCTCAGGCTCTAGGTACCCGACCAGGTACTGGGCTTGAATACACAGCAAATCCACTGCATCAGCTGGAGTCCTGGTCAGCCTGTTAACTTGTTTAGTACCACAGTCATCCCTAGTGGAGCCGAGCTGGCCAGGTGTAGAAGAGCAAGGTGTCAGTGGTTCTGCTTATTTAACTCTTTAGGCCATGGCAACACCATTTAAAAAACCTGTGTGAGCGTTTGGAAGAAGTCATGCTTAATTACCAAAATGTCATGTACTGGCGAAATGACTTGCATCTTTAGACAATTTAAAAATTTGGGTTACAGATGTCCACTACCATATAAATAGCCAAGTAGATGACCCAAATAAAAAAATAACAGTACTATTAAATCTATTCAGTGTGATTTCTTTCAGTTTGACAGCTATACCCTGTTAAAGGTAGCTGAAATATCTTCTGAATAAGATATCTTACATTCCTGTAAGACAGTTGATACAAGGCAGTTAAGTAACTGAGAATGTGGTTTTTAGGGTCCTCATCTCTGGAATCATCTGAGCTGTTTTCCTGGGAAGGCTTAATAACTGTGTATTGGTGATTCAGAAGATGACAGCGTGTGATACTGTGCTCGATGTATAGGTGGCAGGAAAAAAAAAAAGATAATTTTAAAGCTCATCCTTTCTAGGCTTACGCACCCAACTCAGTGCTGCAGGGAAGTAGCTCTGCTCACTGAGGGTGCTGAGCCCAGAATAATTTTCTGAGGGCTCTATTAACTTTTTCAGGGAATTCACAGAAGTTACAGTTTCTGTTCATTAAAAGAAAATGAGAAAATAATGGTGGTGATGCACAGGATTTTTATGTACATGTGCTGTTTCCAAAGAGCACAGTATTCACTCAATCCAGAGGTTTTCACCCCATCATCCCTTTCTCTGTTGACTGGCAGAAGCGGGGAGCATTCTCTATTCCTGGGCTTTCAGTTACACTTCTGTGCAGTCAGGAACGTAAATATCCCTGGGACCAAAGTGCTCAGGGCTTGCCTGTGTCTGAACTGTGCTCCTCATGTGAGGTGCTACTCACGCCTTTATTTATTGAAAAAGAATTGTATTAAATGTTTTATATTTATGTATTAAGAAGTTGTGGTACTTATGCTTTTGAATATTTTTATTAAGAGTGTAATACTTTGCCCTTGTAACTCACTTGCACCCCCAAAAAACCCTCCTCCACGTTTCAGTCTGGTTTGAAAACGTCTACTCCAGCAAATAGGAGGCTGAGCTGCCATTAATATTGTTTTGTTTAGAAGTATTGGGTTGAAGGTTTTGCTAGATGGGTTTTGCTCTCTGTAGAAACACTTTGTCGTGAAGGAAATGGCTGTGCTCGAGTTTTCTGTCTCTTCTTTGCAGATTTGAAGAAAAAGCTCAGACTGACCCTCTTAGTGCACTGAAGTATCTGCAGAATGATTTGTATGTAACTGTGGATCACTCGGACCCCGAGGAGACAAAAGAGGTAATGATGAACGATCCTTGTCTTAGTTATAGAGAAATGTAAACTGTGTTCTCATGCGAAAGTTTTGAGCCTCTTCAATCTTGTTTTTATTCAGTTTGAAAAAGCTCTACAGGTGCATGAGACTGCTGTATCGTTTATTTCTCTGCACTAAATATACTGCATTAGAAACAGTCATTTTACACTTGCAGTTCCAGATAAAATACCTTTTGTACTTGTAATAGTGAAGACTAGGCCTTTGTTTTAATTCCAGCGTACTGGTGTGTATTTTGGGAGCTTTAATTGAAATGTAAACTCTCTTGAAATGTCACGAGTCTGTAGTTGGTTGCGTGGTAGAAAGTGAATAGAAACTCGTATTCATGCTGCCTTTTGGCTTGACGATATCAAATAGCTCTGGAGGAGAGAAAAGAGGTGTTTCTCTGGATTATAAGTATTTCTGGAAGTAGATTGTATATATACGTTGCTTGCTAACCTTAAAATCTTGTTTCCTCTGCCTTCTGAATATTATCCAGTAGGCATGTTCTTTTATTTGTTCCAGGAATTTGTTCCCATTTCCTGTTTTGATTTCATTACTGCGGTACGTGTCGCTTTACAGAAAGGATTAAAGAAATAGTGAGAAGTGTCAGATAAGGTGGTTGGTTTGCCTCTGCCATTTATTTCCACGTGAAGCTTGGGGCAGGCAGCTAGATGTACAGGCCTTCAGCTCCTGATGGGTAGACGAGGAGAAGATGACCGTGGGTCTTACTCTCTTCTTGTGTTAATGACTTTGGGAGTCTTTCGACAGCTCCTTCTACAAAATTGCAGTAGGAGGATGGGCACTGTGACTTCATGCTGAGTCTCTGGATTAAATGACTTAATCTAGTGGTTTTTAACTTGTTACTTTAGATAAAGAAAAAGATCATTACACAGATACTAAAAGCTTTTGGGAGAGAATGTGCTTCTTGCATATGCACAGTATAGAATTTGTAGGGTTAGAAGAATTAAGAATATTCACTCATATCAGGATCTTGGAACCGATCACATTTGTCGTAAATTCTGGTTGGCCTCTGTAAACACCCGATCCAGTAAAACACTGAAGTGCTGTGCCTGTACATTTTGTGAGATGGTTTCTCATTTAAATAGTCCCATATCAAGTTCTTTCACATCATTTCTAGCATAGGAAAGACAAATAACATAATCCTGCTTTTCTTCAGGTAGAAAAGGATGTTTTTTCGTTGTGGCTTTTTTTCTCCCCCATGCAGCATGTTTCAAGGGGGCTCAGCACAATCATGCTTCATCTTCGCAGCGTGGTAGCACTTTCCTCTTCCTATTTAAACCTGTAGTAACCTATAACATACAATAACCACTCCGCTCTCTTCTCCTCTCTTTCTCCCTCCCACCCACTGTAAGACCATGTCTTGTGTTCTCTGATCTCCTTTTTTTCTTCCATGTCATACCATGTGTGCTGGTAACCCCCGTCATGCCTGAGAAGGCCATGTCTCTATTTGGCCTGTTAATCCTAAACAGATCTTGCACCTCATGGCTGTGTCTTTTTATTGCCTGAACAATTTGTGGTGTGATCAGCAAGCTCCTCTCCTTCTAGTTCCCGCTGCCTACTGTCACCAGCAGACCAAAGGAACTGCTGTAACGGCTGCACATTGTGCACATCTGGCACAGGAAATCCTTTAATATTTTACATTTGATTTTCCCAGTTCAGTGTGTAGTATTTAACTTGTCCACCTTGTAAAAATGAAGAATTTATCTGACTGCCTGGGCTTTGAGATTTTGGGAGAAAGTAGTGGCTTTATCATACAAAGTAGAAACAGAATAAAATGTTTTAAAAAATAAATTGTCCATTATCCCAGAGAATACTGTGTTCTGCACATTAATGATCTAGCGTATGAGCTTAGGTAGCTCAGTCCAGCTGAGTGAATATATTGTGAATCCTTTCTCTGCAGGCCTAACTCCTCATCCAAACAAAATTCAATAGCTTCTGTCCATCACGCTGGTCCATCAGATCAACGCAATACCATTCAGCAGATTTAAAGCTTCCGTTCCAGTGGCCTCCTAAAAATCATTTAACAATTTCTGGGAGGCTTGTTTGTTTGGGTTTTGGTGGTTTTTGGTGGGTGGTTTTGTGCTGGTCAAAAAACTTTAACTTTCAAAGGGTTGTTTGTTTTGTTGTGTTTTTTTGGTTTTTTTTACACTGGTATGTATCTGCCTGGTATATGGCACAGAGCCAGCTACTGAGCTGGTACTGACTGGGTTTATTTCCAGTTGACGTCAATTTACCTTCCGGTTATCACATTGAGTTGGCTTTTTGCTCTGGCATTACATCTTCAAATAGCTCTTGTGCTTTCCAAAGGACTGACGCAGGCTTTTTGGATTCCATATCAAATTTCAAGCACCAGTTTGATTGTGTATCTCAGCCCAGACACCTACATGCTCTGTCTTTATTTGTAGCTGAGATCGTCTTAATTAATATCAAAGGCTGTATATCTGATCAGCTTGCTCTGTGCTGGCTACAGCCATTGAACGTTGTAAGGCTTCTTAGTGCAGCAAATCTTAAGGAAATTGGTTTCTGCCTGTTCTTTTCCCTCTCTTTAGGGTGTTAAAATTTGGGAAGGATGGAGCTGAATGCGTTTTTCCCCAGCTTTGTGCTACAGTTCTCTTGGAGACTGGTCTATGCGGTCTTGTGTTTTATGGGTTGAGATATGGGTAGTGTTATATGGTATTACAGGCAGAATTTCACTTTGAGGTAAGGTTTACTTGCTTTATAATAGAAGTAATTTCTTCTAACTTAGTTAGGCAAGTCTCTTCAGCTGTTTTGAGTTGGATGCCAAAGAAAATAAACAGACTGTTCTTGAAACTTGCTTTGGCATTAGTAACCAATTTTGTTTAAAGTAGCATGAATGATTGATAGTAGGAACATAGCCCCAGATTTTCATTTCTTTGTTTTGAATTTTAGGGATGTTAATAGTATTAGAGTTTTATTTCCTTTTTCATTATTCTAAAGTGAACTAGTTGCCTGCAAGTAACAGGTATCGCATGGGTGCTTGTTTTAGTAGCCACAGGATATATGCCAGCTCTGTCTCGGCTGTTACCCACATATGCAGATCCTGTTTTCTTTAGCTCTGATTCTGCTTGAAATTGCTTAAATCTCTTCAGTTAGTTCAGCCTGTGCCATTCAGTGAACGTTTTTTTAACTGGCTGTGTGTTAATATCTCCAACACTGTACATAAAGAGGGTGGATCCCCAGAGTGCATGGAAGTTCATCCACGTATTCTAGTTTGTGGAAAGATTAAAGTTTGTAAAAAAGACTGGCATTTGTTGGCGTAAAAAATTCTGGTGGCATGGATGTTCTTCTATTTCATATACACACAGATGTGTATTTGGTAGCTTGCAGCTAGAGGCTTTTAAAGATAAAAGGATGGTCAAAATAGAAAATCAAAACGAATTCCAAGTTTTATACTTTTATCAAGGAAAACCAGGTGCTGTTAAAGCACAAAAACATCGGTAGATCCCACATAAGGCTAAAGGGGTTGTTACTTGAACACTGGAGTAATCATACCTAGAACTTCACTGCTTCTTAGTGGGCTATAGAAAAAAATCAAGATGATAAAAAAAAAAAAAAAAAAGGCCAGCACTGTCAAAGTAAAGGACAGCAAGATGATTTTGTATGTTGGGATTAAAATTCAACTACTGGTGAAGTAAAACAGATACCAAGTGCAAGTAAAACTTGCAGTATGTTTTTCTTGGAGCATGGTAGGAGAAAGAGCAAGGACCTGGAGGCTAGCTTGAGGCCTGACTAGCTTGTAGACTGAGACTGGAGGCCCCTGTTCAAGGCTGCTTCATACTTTCCATTCTTAAGACCTTGTCTTTAATAAATTTGCCGGATAAAGCCAGCAGGGCCCAAAAGTATTGTTTTAGTCTGCATTAGACCGATATTTCTGAGAAAATTGAAGGCCAAATGGGAAAAATAGTTCTAGGAAGGAGCTAAGAAAAGCATGCTTCTTTTCTTTGTGTCCTGCTGTGATTCTTTGTAAAGCCTCAGAGTCTGAATGCTGCAGGAGCAGAGGCTTTGGAGCCAAGGAGCCTTTACAAAAACAGCGTTCAGCCTTCCTAACTTGAGTGATGGCTCTGTCCTCAAAGAATTTGAGCTTCTCTTTGCATCCCAGCAGAACTGGTCAAAGCTGAGAAACTGTTTTACGCTGTGACCTGAGCGCTTGCCGAACAGACATTACGGAGGAGGAATTATCTGTGATTCATAAAACCTGCCGGGTATCCCAAGAAGGAGTTACTCATTCCCCCTTAGTGTTAACCTTTTCATTTGTGCAAAAGGCAGAGGCGTGCAACAAATATACTAAAATTTGCATGGGTTGCCACATGACAGAATTGTTTTTTTGCTGTAGGTCAAAACCGAGATAAAATACACACAACTGATAAAAGAACAATAATGTTGGAAACATGAAGGTCATAAGTTGGAAGATGTCATAATTAGTGTTAACCCCGTGCTCTTAATTTGGCCTCTCTTTGAATGTGGTTGATTATATTAGTTAAGCTTATATTAGTTAGCCAGATATGTATAACTAATGCATCAGACATGTAACTAATAGAGCCTTATATTAGTTTGTATATTTATCTCTAAGGAACCCCTGGCTCAGTCCAGAAGGTGGGGTGGATCTCCGAGAGAGATGTTAATTGTGTAACAAAGGGAGCTGTTGTCTTTTGAACGGAGTCTTAACTTGGAATGGATGAAGCCAGTGAGCCAGAGGGATTGTCAGAAGAAAATGGGTGGTGGTGTCATTAAAGCAGTTGGATGCTTTTGCTGGATAATTGAATTCTAGTCCTGCCTCTGTAACAGAGTTGCTATGTGAGGTTAAGCAAATTGTTTTTCCTAGATGGTCATTAATTGGGTTTTTCATTCTGGTGCTTGATGGGAGAGATGTGAGGTGTGATTTGCTCAAGGGCTTTGCTCTTCTGGCTGCAAGTGAATTTGGAAGCTGTTGCATAATACTGTGTCATTTGAAAAATCAAATTCTGGTGGCTTCAAATAGGGGACCCAGAATTAGTCAACATTTGAAGTGCTGTCTGTTATGATAACAATACTGATAGAAAAACTGATCAAGAAATTAATTCCCTCTTTAGAGCAGAGTTTAAACTTCATGAAGAAAATACTGCAGTGGATATATGCTGTGAATGGTGTGTAGGAGACCTGGTCTTGAGTAAGCAGTAACTGTCCTATGCACTGGTAAAAAAAGCTTGGGTCCTTTGGGAGAACATCATACTGTTAGCTGGCATTGTGATGCAAATGCAGAGTGAACCACTTGAAGTTCAGTGCTGTCCCTAACTGATGTTCTTAATTTATGTGCTTGACTTTTCTACCAGAAAATGCTTTTTTTAAAATGTGACACGATTACATAAAATATAATTTGAAAACAAACACACACCACACCTCAAGGTTAGCTGAAGTGCAGCGTCATCAGTGAAGGAGGAGACAAGGTATTCCTTCCCCACAGAGCTGGAGAGCAACTTGTAGCCATGAAAATCCATCATACCTAGTGCAGATGAGGCTGGAATACTTGGCAGAGGGTCTTTTCAATGGATTTTTGGTCTCAGTTCAGCGAGTTACTAGCTGGATCCCGCTTTTATGGTCTCATAGTCGGGCATCCTGAGAGCCAGTCTCGAGCATAGCTTGCTTTCTGCTTACAGAAGGATGGCTGTAAGCGTTGCTGGGGGAGGCAAGGGAACCCCTCGAAGCATGTGGCGTCCGCTTTGTCCCGGCATAGCCAGCTTCATGTGCTACCAGGCAGTTGGCAGCAGGCCTGTAAGGCAATTGTGTGGGAGGGAAGGATGGCCAGGACATGGCATTTGCTATCAGAAGCAGCACAGATTTAGCCACTGGTTTTATTGGAACTTTTTGAGCTATTTATGCTGGGCATCTGTTTGAGTACGTTGTTGTTTCGGAGCCAAGCAACTCTTACAAGTTACACTAGGAGTGAAATACACGTGTAGCACTGCAATCCCTTTGATTTCGTATAACCAGACCTCACACTCAAGAGGGTACTTAATCAACCTCTTCCCCCTGCCTGCAGTTTGTCAATCCTGTATCTTTCCAACCTGTTCTGAAATACCTCCAGCACTAGCTTCTCCCCAAAGATGCAAACTTATTCCAGTGCACTACAGTCCTTATTTTTGACTGCTTGTTTTGCTTGATGTCACATTGAAACTGATCTTTCTGAAGCGTTTTTGTTGCTTCTTGCTCTTAGTTGTAGATTTACCTTTTTGTAGCAGCCTTCTGCATTTGTGACTTTGCAGTTTCATCCTTGGACACAATTCTGTGGAGGCTCTGCAACCCTGACTCCTTTGAACTTTCTTTATGGAGCTTGATTTTCAGACTACTTGATTTTTTTTCTCATGCTTTCCTCCTGTGTTACTAATTGATACAGGGCATCCAGAAGTGGTTCGCTTATTGTAGATGAGACTTAAGAGCCTTGATAACAGCAGTACTACTTGATTTATATCAAGATCCTACTCCTTTTCATGCATTTTCTCTGCATATTTGTTTTTGCAATAGGATTTACCCATCTGTTATAACTCCTAAATGTGTTTTCAGAGCCTATGTACCCCATCCTGTTTTGTATAGCTGATTTTTCCTATGTTGATTTGCACTTGGCCCAGTGAATTGCACCTTGATCTGTCATTATAAGCTGAATGAAATGGAAAAACAGTCTGAAGCCTCTCTGCTACCATGCTGGCAGCCTGTCTGAGCGTGGTGTAAGGTCTGTGGACTCCGCAAACGTGTCCTGTTCTGTCAAGCAGTTTATCACTGACAACCCAGAATGATGCAGACCCTGGGGCACAGGTGAATCACTTCTGATTCATGGCTCCATTTTGATGTCAAGGCATTGATGGCTACCCACAGAAAAGTTATTTGACCTATTTGCCATTCACCGTTAGCTTAATCTAGGTGATGCCTTGATAATTTGCCTTAAATATAGTATAAAAGCATCAAAAGTCTATGGGAGTTAAAATGGACACTGTCTATTTTCAAGTCCCATCCATAGGACCTGCTGCTTTCTGGAAGAAATTATGTGATACAACTTGTTGCCAAATTCACGCTGGCTGCTACTCACCACCTTCTCCACTCCTAGATGCCCGCAAATCTTCTGTTTTCCCCTTTTTTTTTCTTGAAATTGAAATTAAACTGATGGTTATGTAATTCCTGGCCGTTCTTCCCACTCCTTCCCTGAACAAATTTGCTTCTCTTCTGGTTCCGACCCCCTTCCTCCTTCTTTCCTTCAGGCCGTGTGCTATAAAAACACACAGACAGGAGACAAAAGATTACAAGCCTTTAAGGGATCAGCTAATTCTTTAAGGAAACATGACAAAGCACTAAGCTTTGCTACTACATGGGTAGCTGAAAACAGCAGCCAGGGGCAGAGGAAGATACTGTGTTCACCGTCTATCAGTAAGGCATTAAAGGAGAATAAAACTGAATTACTTAATTAAAAATACTTAATTAAAAACCGTGTTCCTTAAAACGTTTTTACTCATGATTCTGATGTTCCCAAGCAAAGAACTTTTTTTTTATAAAAAAAAGGTTAAAAAGACATTGCCGTAAACTCGTGATAAGAGCTTCTCTGGCAGTTCAGAAAGGTTGTCGCCATTTAAACCTTTCTCTGTATTCAAGAAGTTCATGCTGCACTGAGCAGTTACCCTGTTGTTGTGCCATCTAAGCCTTGCTCCCGAAGACTGTACTGTCTTCATCCCTGAGAATGCTGTTGTGTGGAAGAGGCTCTACTTTACTTCTGCACTGTGATATCTGCCAGAGGGGCAAAAAAGTATATATGAAAAAATTGGGTTTTAGGGCTCCCAGTCAAGTACCTTTCTTTGTATCAACGCTGCTCTAATTCTAGGAAAAACCATCCAACTTGCTCTGCCAAGGTGACAAATTGTATTGCTCATATGAAAGTGTCTGCTGCTGTTATGCATATGTATGGCACGGTAGTTCTAAGGATTGTGCAAAGAAAACCCAGCAACTCTAAAGCCACTTGGACTTCTATGAAATCTTTTGGGTTTGTTCCTGTGCCGTTAATAACACTTTTTTTTTTTTTTTTTTTTGCCTCAGCATTATTTAAGTCTGGCTCGGATTTCACGACTCTTGGTGAGTATTGTGTATCAGAAGAATGATACTAATTATGTTCCCTCTGATAAAGATCATTACTATTAGTTTATACTGGTTTTATATGGATTTTTATAGTTCATATGGATATTGTAGGCCCTTTTCGGTTCGAATATGTGATGTGCCCCTACTTAGACATTTGAGAGATTATTTATAATGACCAGTGTCCAATGCCTTGGGCCCATATTTAAAACATCTGTCACCAGAGGGTTTTAAACCCATGCCTCCCAGGATCATTTTATGTCTCTTATTACATCTGATGCTTCACTGTTACTCAAATAAACAGAAGCTTTGGTCAGAATAAAGCACCTCCTGTCATGTCACTTTGGAATCTCACAGCATGGCTACAGCTCTGTTTGCTGTGATAACTGCAATTCCTGGAGTAGTTTGGTTCGCTCTGTTCTTTGCAAAACTAGTTCTTTGGGCAGAATGTCAAGAGTGAAGAAAACAGTGGCGTGTAGGGCTGGAAACAGGAGGTCTGAGCCAAAGCTATAATTTGTTTCACTGTTCTGTCCAGTTAACTCTTTTAAACAGTTGAGAGATTAATCCCGGGCAAGCTGTAGTTCGGCTATAGGCATAACTTACATTCTTGTAATAATGTGTTGTCCTCAAGTTACCCAGCTCTCCCGAGGAGCACGGATGTCTTCAGTTTTTGACAAACCCGTAATTCCCAGTCTAAGGCATTGAGGGAAGGAAAAAGCCCGCTGCACTATCTTCCCTGCTGGATGAGGAAGCTCTGCTGAGCTCGTGCGGTTTGGAAGATGTTATCTAGTTGATGCTGTAGGATGAATTTTTTTAAAGGAAGAAAACCCAGGTTTCAGAAGACTGTTTTTCCCCAAGTTTTAAGTGGTCTGAAAGATGAATTAGTTCTGAAGTCAATATAATACTTTGTTCGGAGGTTGGCTTTACAGATAGAAGGATGCATTCACCAAGTGGTGCTTCTAAAATAAAACAAAAAAACAAGCTCTCCGTGCTTTGATTAACACGGTTGACTTTGATTAACTGAAGAGCAAGTTCACTGAATTATAAAAAGCATTCCTTTGAGATACCAGTGATTGAAGTAATACAAAGCAGAGGAAATCGTTGTATGCCCACTCTATTGTTCTTGCTGTTGATGGTTTAAGTATGGGGATTTGGATAAACAATGCTGCTGCCGCAGACTGTTGGGTCGCAGTTCTTCATAAAACTAGTTTACAAAGCACCCTTGTGCCAAGATGTAGCCTGGGTCCGCGGTGAAAGTCCAGTGACTGAAATACTAACTCTGACTTGGGACTCCCACCATCGGCAGAGCTTGTCTCAAGAAAAACTGCAAGCAATACAAGTACCAGTTTTGGTTAAAACAGTAGTGAATTTAATGAGGAAAGCCTGAGGACAGAAGAAATGAGGCACCAAATAAAAATAGCTACACAGATTTTTGTTTTCTGGGACACCAGAGCAGTCCCCTGGGGAGTCTTGCTTCCCCTCTTTCTTAGGACTGTCGATGAGCTTGACAGCCGTTTGCTTATTAGTTTTTATGGCATTTTGATTGCAGCGTTGGCTTGGGCTGACGTCACCTCTCTGTGTATGTGCATGTAGTGGTGGGACGGGGAGCTGGCAGCCTTGTTAGTTGTTGGAGGCAGAACTAGCAAACAGTTAACATCTGTCCAAAATGGACAACTGGCATGTTCCACAGCTATTAAACTGAGCGTTTAAAGTAGTGAGCGCTGACTCTCTTTCCCCTTTTTTTCCTCCCCCAGGATTTTCAGATGTTGACCACACGTACGCGCAGAGAACTCAGCTGTTTGATACACTAGTTAACTTCTTTCCAGACAACATGACCCCTCCTAAAGGCAACCTGGTGGACCTCATCACGCTGTAATGGAGCAATCACTGGACATATGGAAGAGGGGGAAAAGCATCCATTTTCAGTATTTTAATTTTTTTACTGCATTGATTGACTGCTGGGATGAAGTAATATAGTAACCCCTAGGTGTTTGAAAGGGGTTTTATACTTGTATGGTGAATCCCTGAAGCTTTTCCCTTGGAGTAGGTTAATAAAATGTAACTGACGTACTTCTGACTAAATATATATATTTTTTCTGACTTTGGATTTGGAGTTGGCAAATGTAAGATGAAAAGGTGGGGGAAAGAAAAACAGAAAAACCCAACAAAACCCAATCATGCAGTAATTTTTTTTGCCAGTAGGGGAAAATTGAGATTTGTGGGTTGTCTGGAATTAAAGATTAATGGGTTTTATTTTGGGTTTTGTGAGAGGGGAGGGGGGGAGGCTGTTCTTTACTCATTTGTAGCTAGTCATGGTATATTGCTTTACCCTACAACTCCATCCTCAACAGCTGAATAACTTGGTGGCAGGACACTGGCACGCGTTGAGGTAATAGTGATGTGTGTGTCTTGAGTCTCGTAATCGCAGTGTGTCATGTGAAGGGGAGCACGTGTTACATATTATCTGTCTCCTTGCCCCAGAATCGGGCTGACAGTCGTGTCTAATTGCATCTGATACCTGATCTAAACCTGAATACATACACGCCTGTCTTCTGCTCTCTGGAGCCTTCCACTTAAACCTGACGGGTAAGTGGGAACCTCGGAGAAACCACTGGAAAACGGGAGTGCAGTCGTCATCTGCACAGGCCCCTTTTCAGGGATTATTCTGTTTTCACTGCTGTGCTCTTCCAATGAGAAACCATGCAGGTCGTCTCAACTGGGTCTTCCACCGCACACACACCCAACCTCTGCAACCCGATTCTGGGTTGGGTATAGGATTTCTGAAGCAGATTGTCTTCGTTTACATGCGCCTGTGCTTCTGTGTGCGTTTGTCAATGTGTAAATGTAAAGAGGATTGCTCCGAACAGCTTGTCTCCTTCCTATGTAGTGCAGCTCTCATTCACTTTTAAATGCATTTTAGACCTAGATCTGAATGTGAGGGAGGCCTTTTTAGCATAAATCTCTTTGAAAGCAAGCTGATGCATATGTATACAAAATATATTCTTCCTTGCTGAAAGCCTTCTTTATAAATAAGGTAAGGGCTTGGTGCTGCGCTGTGAAGCGGAATGAAGGATACGCATACCCAGCATTAGAAACTTCTCGCATTTGGTGTCAGTGAGCGTTCAGTACAAACTGGCAGATGTAAATATTTATATGACACTGCAAAGCTTTATGTCCAGAAATGTTCATGCCGGTAGGGTAGCATTGCTGCACCCACTGTGGCTACACGACTCCTATTGAACTTGATGGAAGTCTTGTGTGTGCAAAGATGATTTGGACTCTTGAAATAAAGAGTTAGTGAAGTCTCTTTTTTTCAGAGCTCAAGTGTCTGCTTGCTTTGATTGCATTGTATTGCCTCTTTATCATGTTCTTTGTGTGACTTTTGTAGTCCTGGTACGTTAGAAATAAATTTAAAAACTCATACTAGTGTTTAATCACTTAGAAAGGAACAATATGTTAGAGGCTGGGCTTTGCTTTGTCTTCAGGGAGGACTCTACAAATACAGTGTTTTTAAGTAACCTGTAACTGGAGATTGTTTGGACATTGTATACTTTGGTGGATGGCAAATCAGATGTCTGTGGAAGAATCCACTCGGTACCTAGTGCAGTAAATGAAATCTGATTAAATTGTTTCTTTAAAACATTGCAACTTTTTTTCTTCCAGCGACATGGAAAGTTTTATGTCGCTGAGAGGCTTTACGGTGGGCTACCTTTGACGCTTTGTGGACTAGTTAAAATAGAGCTTATATGGTCTGAATGTTGATACTGGCGGTGCTATACGGGTGGATTATTCCAGTTGAGGCGTTGCTTCCATTGAGATTGAACTGAGCACTTTCAATGCAACCAGCCCAAATGCTGCAGCCCTCTAGTACTTAAAATTTTACTGCTGTTGTGCTCCCTTATCATTGATCTCATTGCCTGTCTATTCTCCAACTTCAGTCAGAAGATTAATTGCTTCTCGTGACAGTTTTCTAATCAACCAAGCTCTTCATAAATTTTTATGCGTACACCTTTGACTACGTGTGAGGCTGAACGCAAAAGATACAACCAGACTGAGGAGCCGCCGCGAACAGACAGCAGAAGTTTAGGAATGCCAGAAGCTCTGTGAATGGTGTTGGTGAGCTGTGCGTCGTGTCAGGCTTGATTTGTGTTATAGGAATTCGATCAAAACTCATTGTTCTCTGTGTCGGGGGTGCGTGCAAAGCCTGACAGCCTGGCTCAGTTTTTCGTAGCATAGCGTGAATGAACGATTTGTGTGAGCGCGGTGAGCGTTGCTTCTGCAGGACTGACATCCCAGCTAATGAGAGCACTTCAGGATGATCAAATATTGACCTACCTTTATCCTGAGCAGATCGATTTCAGCTCGCACGAGCGCAGTTTATGGATTACAGCTGGTGATTAACCAGGAGAAACTGTGCTCAGCTTCGGAGTATTTGTTGAGCAGCAGAGGCACCCTGTGGCCAGAGAGGTTAATCCAAAGTGAAGGTTTCTTGTGCCTTTGCCAAGGGTCTTTCCTGGTTCTGTGTCCTCAAAGCTAGGAGTCAAAATGAAGTGATTTCTTTGTGTTGGTGTATGCTACGCTACCTTGACTTCAAAACCGATTAAAAATTCTGAGCGGTGAAGCATAAATTCCCGTTCAAAATAAGCCAGTTACTGACAGGCAGTTACAGGGAGAGTTTTAATTTAATTACATGCAGATCTTTAAAGATACTGGTGATATTCCAGGAAAGCATTAGATGTGATCATTACAGAAATAGTGAAGTACAAACTGAAAAGAAACCCACTTGATCTGAAAACAGCCACCTGAAAATGTTTCACAGCACAGTGCATGCAATGTACTAAATATGCAAGCTCTAGATATATGAGAAGTCTTCAAACCTCACCCTTACAGCTTGCAGAGCAGAGACTGCTTTTTAGCTTAGACAAGACAAACGTACTATATTTACATTCACCTTATAAGGTGAAGGTGTGTGGATTTAACACTGCATAATCTTTGCACTACAGTAGTTTTTCTCTAAATTATGTGTTAACTTGTAAATAAAATATTGCAGAGGAAAAGCATCATTACTTGTCAGAGGGATTCATTATGATGACTGGGGTCTTTAAAGCCAAAATCAATCTTAATTTTTTTTTTTTAAAGTCCTTTTGAGATCCGTGGGTTTGGTTCTTCACTGACGCTGCCCTTCAGCATAGTCGCGCTTCCAGTATTATTCAGTAGATCATCTCTTTGGAAAATGTGCAGTCATTCCTTACGCAAAGTTGAGCCTATTGAGTGACGTATTTTCCTAGAGAAATAAAGCCCTTGACATTTGATTTTTGGTCACTTGAGTTAGGCAGAATTGAGTGTCTTAATGTTTGTCTTGTATAGCCCCTTAGCAGGCAATGAGGCAGAAGTCTTTGAGTTCTCCCAAAGCTACTTCTCCGAGCAAGTACTGCTCTCGCAGTGTTTTCATGTGGCGGGTGGCAGAAGGACCTGCTTAGATGATATTATTAAAAATGAGGAGACTAGCTACCTTCCTGCCTGTGGTTTTTTTGGTTTGTTTTGTTTTGTTTTTTGAGGAGCCCATTAATATTGATCCAGGGAAGACCTAAAGGGTGATACAACGTGGCTGTTGAAATTAGTTGTATTTTGTCATCTGGCTTGTTTAAAGATAACATTTATGACTTATTTATTCTCTTAATTTTGCGGAGTATAATGAGAAAGGAGAGCTAGGTCTTGTAAAAGTTTAGTTTATACTTTCTCTGGACACCATCTTGTACGTATAGTTGTAAGTAGTCATATCCCGTTGTGTAAATAAATGTCTGGGATTTGGATCTGTTTGCCCAGGATGGCTCGGTGAATGCTGGGACAGGCTGGAGGTTCCTACCAGAACATGAATTAGCAAAATCATACTCTCATTTTGGAAAAAAATCAATCTGTGAAGACCCAATTTGAAAGGCTTTTCTAAGGCATTTGCCTTGTGCCGTGGCAACTCTAGCGAAATGAGAAAATTTTCCTAAAGAGCGTAATAAAGCTTCCCTTGATGAAGATTGTACTAGAGCGAGGGTGCAGTGACAGGCTTAAATTAAATTGCTGAAACTTTTTGGTCGCTGATTATAACAACCTAGTCTGAAAACTTAATGGTTGAAGAGTCAGTAAGCAAATTATTTGGACCTACCTATTTGCAGGAGAGCAGGCTCTTTGCAGTTATGGGCTAGTGGCAAGGGACTGTGGTAGCTTCATCTGCCTATTTCTTTAATCAGCAGCCACAAGTGTCAGGGTCTCCATTAGCTGTTTCTTCTTCCAGAAGAGCCTCCTTCCAAAGCAGAGTAATGACTCTGGAAGAGCGTTTTCCACAGGGCTTTGTGGAACAGCTGTTTTCTGAATCATTTTCCTGATGTGTGCAAATTTTTAGAAGGGGTTTTTCTTTGTCACAAAGTTGTACGCTGATCTTGCCCTGCTGTGCGAACCTGCACTCGTGAGTGCCGCAGATGATGAGCGATAAATTCAGTGTTCTGAGAAACACTTGAAGCCTATTTGCTGCTCTTACTGTAAGAAAGATTAGCATTAATGCTGCTTGTTTCAAATGCAGGAGGGTGGCAGGGACCTGTAAACGCTAATACTGTTAATTCTCTTGCTGCCTCCTGTATTTCGGAATTGAGAAGGAAATATTTTTGTAGAGCTTATCGGGTGAAACTTTTAGTATGAATTAGCTCTGCGCAACTTTAAACTTGAATGCTCCTACATCTCTCTGTACATGCAGTAATTCTGTTGATGTAATGCTGTGCCACTTCTGGGGAAAACGGTGAAAATTACTGGATACGTCTCCATTTGGTATCTTTCTTTTTAGAAGTGGAAAAATGTCTTGTGAAACCTTGAGTCCCAGTGTATGCTTTGAATTTTAGCTTATTAGTTGCGGTTGGCTCGGGGTTAAGGAATGTTTGGCTATTGTCAAGTGAAGTCCTGACAGTAAAAGCGGTTCATGTATGTCTCTGGAAGTGCTTGTGTTGTTTTATAGCTGTAGTTATTACAGAAACAGAGGTGGGCCCAGTTTAAAAAACAAAACCAAAACACAAACAAAAAAAAAAAAACCCCACTCAAATTATTGCTGTTCTGATGAGGGGGAAGATTATAGAAAATCTGAATGAGCTTGACCAATTTGAATTAAGTACACGTGGTAATTTGGAGATGGGTCTTATTTTGTGAAAGAGTTTAAGAACAGCTATATGACTCGTTCTTGATATAAATTGGTAGTAGTGTATCAGCTGTAAATAGTGTTGAAATGTAAATGTACTGTCAGAAGCTTGTTAGTGTATCTAAACGCTTATGGGTATGGTAGACCCTATCATATCCTGTCATGGAAAAGGTTATGCTGGAAATTATTCAAATTCTGGTAATGACTTGTAGGCAAAATCCCTGTTTTACTGAAAGCCTCTTTTATAATGAAAAGTTGGAGTGGAAAAAGTAAGTTTACTGTACTGGAACCATTATAATAGTACAAGGCTGAGCGCTTGGACAAATTGACTCCAGATGCTTTTATCTGTAGGCAGTGGATCCAAACGGCGGTTTCAGCGTGGAAGCCAGTTAATGACCTGCTTATTGCCGTTTGAGAGTCCCACAAGAAACCGTCAGGCTTGATGCCAGAAGGTATACTTTTGGCGTTCCTGGCGGAGGCCAGAGAACTGGACGGAGTTTTGGATTATCCACGTATGCTTTGGTTATATATGTACAGCTCTGAGGAGGACAGGGGTTGTGTGGGTTGTTTATAACACCGGTTCTATGGCTTAGGTTTAGAGCCCTGCAGGACAGCATCTTCCCCAAACACAGACCCTAAAGGTAACACATCGCTGCTGTCTCCTTTGCTTTCATATACGTGAACTCGATCCGTTAGTGATGATCTCCAGCTAACTTGCTGTGATCCAAATTCAGTGCTCTGCTTCTGCGTACCTACAGCCACAGATTTCCTTAAGCTGCTGTCAGTGTATCACTTCGGTACCCAGGAATCTTAATTTATACTTGGTGCAAAGGTACATGTTGCCTTGGCTTCCAGCTGTTTGCTGTAACTCAGCACAGCTTTTACTGACGACCTGGAGACTGTAAGTATTTGAGTGCTGTCAGAAGACACTTCAGCCCTTGTGTGGTATTGCAGCTCATTCCTGGGAAAGAGTGGCGGAAACGAATAGCTCAAAACTGGCTCCATCGAGTTAGATTTTTGTTTTAGCTACTAATTTGAAAGGAAAATCTATCACTGGCATATATGCCGCCCAACGTGATGATCAAAGCGTGGTCCCTTGGGTACTCCTCCATTTATTCTGAGTTTTTTTTCTTACCCTGTGTGACTGTTCACTGCTATGAAAATGCTGTGCCTTCAGACTTCCCTAAGTTTAACGGAGTACTTGTTGAAGAATTCAAGGTTAGAGCTGTGTGGTGGTTATTGAGACATCGGTTTCTCCATGTCACATCATCACACTCTCGTTTCCTTTGCAAAACTCCTTACTGCTGCCTCTGAAACAGTCAGGGAGGATCCTTGTGATTTACGCTGATCTCCCCAAGGGCTGTTCCTCCTGCGAGGTAAGGACGGGGAAGCGTGGGAGCTGATTTCCCAGCAGCAGCACGGTGTGCTGTCAGCCTAGCAGTGCAGCACACACCTATTTACTTGTGTCCCTCCGTGACCCCACGTTCAGCACTGTGGTAAGCTTTCCCTCCTGTCTCAGCAGGGTTTATTTTGCCCGGCCCCAGGAGCGTGATAGCTGTTTGACAGAAGAAAAAGGTGACGATACCAACCCTCAAGTCGTCCTAGCTTTCTGCCACTTGCTTTCATCATCCCAAATCTTTCAGCAGTGGAGGCAAACAGCTAGTAGTCGGGGCGTGGGGTTTATTTCTGCAGCATAGCAGGGCAGAGGGAATGGGAAGAAAAATAGGCTTGGGGATAATGTAGCGGTGGCTCATGTGAGTATGTGTTCAAGATGTGGTCTGTCTTTTTTGGAAGGACTTTGAAGACTCTCTTAAGTAGATTCTCTGTTTAGAGCTTATTATTTTAGGCGAGCTGGATTCTCTGGCTCTCTTTCAAATGGCAGTGATGCAATACTAGGATCTTCTAGTCCTGGAGCTTCACCTCGAGCTTTGTCCCTCTCCACCCCAAAGACACCGGAGAGACTAATACAATTGTTTTTTTTTCTTCCCAGTCTCTCTGCAGCTATTGTAAGGAAGCCAGCTGGGCTTAACTCTGTTCAAACATACTGGATGGAGACTGTGCAGCACAATCAGCTATCAGACCAGGTCTGGCAGTCTCAAGAGGCTGTTAAAACCTAAAAATGTTCTGAGCTTTCTGATGAAAGCTGCCAGTGAGATTAAGGGAGATTAGCTGCTTTTTAATTAATTTGATGGTGGGGAGGTGAGACCACAACAGTGGCTCCAGTGGTTGCAGTTGTCTCCACATCCCGAATACCAGCTGACAGGTTTTTCTCCCCAGTGATGAGAAAATAGTTTAAATATCCCAACTTTGTAACTAGCCACCCAAGGGATTCAATCAATTACGTTGTGTTTCACTAAATAGAAAAGTGCTGCAGTGTGTGAACAGAGTCTGTTCATTGAAGAACCCACTTTGAGGCTGAAAAGTGATGTGTTGGTTGTTTTTTTTTGAGGTTTTGACAAAAAACTCAGCCTTTAAAAGGGGAGAATGACTCTTACCAACCTGTGCAGTCAATGATTTCACTGCAGATAGTCAGATAGTTCCGTCTGAAGAGCAGCTGATCCTTCTGCCTCTGCTTACCCTGCAGTACCATGTGCTGTTCAGAAGGCGACAGCCTGTTTTCCTTCCCCAGGCAGGGTGGAGAACTCCTGTGCTGCAGAAGACTTTTATCTACTCGTGGAGGAGATAACTATTGTGCCACTGACTTGTTTCCCCTCTCTTGTTTCTCTCTGCCGTGGCAATTGGGAAGGCAGACTAACAGTGGAGGCTGAATTTTGCCTTCATCTCTCCCTCCTCAGTCCTGTCCTTCCTGGCCTCTCTCCCTCCCCTTGATGTTTTGATATGCAAAACACTTGTCACTTCAGAAGCTGCTGGGCTGGGTAGTGGAAAAGAAAACAAACCCCTAGTTATTAGTAGCTGTTACTATTTACTGAAGCTGTATTTTCTGCTGTGTCTTCCAGCGTACCCTCCTCCACAGCAGGAAATGCGGGGATGCTGGGGAGACTGTGAGCCAGAGAAAAGAACTTAATTATACAGACAAATGTGTTTATGGGAGTTCTGGAGGCCCAGAACCTCACCGGCCACTTTGCCTAGGGGCAGAAAATTAAAGTCCGTTGGCTCATTCTTATTTGATGGGAGATGATGTTCCCATCCTTGTGGGCTGGGGGTGATGTGTGTCTTGTACATTTAGACGTTGAGAGGCAGTGTGTCTAATTTTAGAAGTATTGAGCCTTGGTAAGCGTTTTCCCTTCGAACGCTGTACTTTGAAACTGCTGAAATAACCTCTCTTTTAGACGAGTTGGTAACGCAGACAGGATCTGGGTGGCTTGGGGTTAAATGCTGGTAAGCTGGTTGGCTAACCATCACCTGGTTAGGGGGGCTTTTTCAAGCTGTTTCTCTGAGCTGTTGCCTCTACTTTTATTGTAATGCTATACTGTGTGACGGTTGGTTTGTCTGGACCTCCAGTGTTCGTTATCTTGTCTTCTCCACCCTCGTGTGGTCCCCAAAAGCTGGTTATCCCTATGTAGTGCTTGGAGTTGTGAGTGTCCATGCCCCGTCCACAATTTGGCCTTTTTTTTTTTTTTTTTTCCCCCGTTTTGGCATCCATCTCAAAGCATTTGCACCTCTACAGCAATCCCGCAGATTCTGGTGTCTGTCCTGCAGTTGTCTCGGACGCCTGACCCCAGGAGAGCTGAACTGAGAGGCACAGACAGCCCTAGGCTGGGAAGGGGTGTCCGTGGGGTGATGAATGCTGTGAACTGCACACGTGTTTTAATAGGCAAGTCAAATACTGACTAGTCCTGTGTTGGAGCCCTTGGTGGTTACAGGCATCATTCCTGGACTCTGGTGATTCCCCATCCTGCCCTTTACTGGTAAATGGATGATCTTTGTTCAGCCCGGAGTGTTAATTTTCTTCCTTGGCATAAATCATCTTTGGTAATTTCTGGGTTGATATGTAAGCCCCATGCTGTATATAACTGAATGAGTGATATGAGAATATCTACAAATGTAGTTATGTTGTATGTAATGTACATAAGGAGAGAATGTATTTTGTTCATTTTTTTTTCTTAATAAAAATGTATATGCTAGCAAGGGCGTTTATTTAAGATCTGTTCCTTCTAACATCGCTTGCTTCTGAGAAGGGGAAAATGTCTCGTAGCGGTGCAGAAATTGTGAAATTTGGTGGTGTGTGATGCCTGGGCGGCAGGCCCTGTTCCTGCTGGAGGAGCCTGCCCTGTCCCTCCGCACTACAGAACAGCTGAGAAAATATCCTGTTCCCTGAAATCAGTGATGGGCTGGGTCAGTATCACATAAATCCATCGTGCGCTTAGCGGTTGCAAGAACTTCTACTGGGGAGGAACACGGAGTTAAAACATAGGGTGATGCAACCCACCCACTTTGAATGTTCGTATCAAACCAAACTCCTTTTTATTTTTTTTTTCCTTCCTTTGCATAAGTGGAAACTTAACCTGGAACAAAATGTTTTATTTTGGGCACTCGAAGGCAAACGGAGATGCTGAACTGCCCACGCTGCTGCTGACCCTGCTGCTGCCCTTGCTTGGCAGCTCTCCCTCGTTAGGCTGCTTCAGTTTAGGGACATGAGGTTTGGTTCCCTCCTCCACAGCCTGAGGGAAGTGCAAGGGGAGGCTGCAGGCTAGGACTGAGTTAGGACGAAATGCAAAAACCGGGGCAAGCTCCCTCCCCATCTCCCAACACGAGCCGAAAGCCACGAACAGTTCAGAGAGGTGCTTTGGCTGCAGTGGGGGGCTGCTCTTGCCCGCGTCAACTGAGCATCCCACGCCTCGGGGTTTTCTATTTTTTAATTTTTTTTCACCACTGTCCTTTCTGCTGCATGGGAAAAATATAAGCTCCTCCATGGCTGACTACCTCTAAAAGTCTGGGTTGGATTTACTCCCACTTTTCCAATAATTTTACATGTTCTTGCTAGCAGGACCATGCAGAGCCTGTGCTGGATTTCCAAATAAGCTCAAACCATCACCAGTTGAACGTAACAGCTAGTTGTGGCTCGCGAGCACGCCCTCTGCTCCCCCCACCCCTTTTCACTCAGCTGAGAAGCAAGTCTTTTAGATAAGAAGGTTTATTGACAGAAATACATGATGCTTTCAAAATATATTTGTAGGAAAATGCAAGAATAATCTCTACAATCCAGTTCCTCAGTAAATTCCAGTGTAAATCAGACTCCTGTCCCCGTGAGAGATGCTGCTATACAGTACGTAAGAGCTCTAGTATATGGGCAAGGTTCAACGGGTGGCCGCCTTGGGAAATAAGTTCTCCCTCTGCAGTCCCTCATGGATTATATCTTCTGCTGTATGTCTTCCGTAGGCAACAGTCACAGTATCAACCTCATCAGTTGGGTCATGGCACTGTGAGCGGGAGATAAATGGTCCTAAAGTAGTTACAACATTCCTCGTGAATCCGAAAATAGAAAAGTCTCTTGCAAGGACATCTGAGCTGCTTGTAAAACTCCTCACCAAAAGGTAAGAGCAATAATCTCTTTGTACAACGTGTCGGATGTTAAAGCTGTTTTGAGGGAGAGAAGAGGAGTGCAGGGGAGGGAGGTGGGGCAGGGAGGGAGGGGAAATGCCTGGGTAGATTTTTTTCTTTTTAATTATTATTTTTGGTCTAACAACTATGGCTACAGTCTACAAAGGGAAGGGTTAAGGCCAAAGATGCTCATCACTGCATTTCCTACCTGATTTTTTTTTTTTTCAAAGAGAATGTTCTCAACATAAAAAAGTACTGTTTTTCCCATGGAAATAGTTCTTTAAATAGGGGAAGGAAAAGCTACTATAAAATATTAGTGGTTTAAAAATACGGTGTCTGGAAAAATAAATAAATGTACAATTCCTATTCAAATATAAATCACTATAAGCACTTGCTGAGCAGTTAATATCTTCAGTGGTCTCTGCTCGGAAGATTTAAGGATGCTCGATCTCAAGCCTTTGTCGGGTTCTCTTGGAAAGTCTTTGGACCTGATTCATTAAAGCACTTTGGCATCTCTTTGCTGGGAAGGGGGATCTTTAGGCACATGCCAAAACCCGACTGCCTGGAGATGCTCTGCCAGGGGTGTCCTTACAGCAACGGCAGCCCTGGAGGCCAAAGCCTCGCTGCTGCCCCGTGTTTTCACCACATTTATTCTCTGTGAAAGATAGAAACGTGAGGTCACCAGCCTGCTGACCATCTCTCGGGGCAACTGGGAAGCAAACACGCTCACGAACACAATTGCAAATGCCGAGACCGGTTCTTTGAGCCTTGCTGCAACGTTAAAGAGCCGGGCTTGATGCTGGGGACAAAGCCATGGCGTGGGGTTATCTGGGCGGGAGGTGTTTTCCAGCGTTGCGTTGAATTTTGATCCCCTACCAGACTGGCCTTTAGCTTTTTCTTTCTGTTTGTTGTAATTTTTTTCCCTGTTTTGTTTTAAATTCCACCCCCCCACCCCACCCACCCCTACAAAATTACTTCCCCGTAGTGCAGTGCACAGGTAAGCGAAGTGTGCTGAATACATTGCTCATGAATAGCAGGAATATTTACATACAAAAATATATCCGTTTGAACGCTTCAAACTCTGCCCTTGGGTACAGGAGAGAAGGGAGAAGAGCCAGTCCCTTCGAAAAGACATATCTTCTGCCAGCTTCTGTCCTGGGGCCGAGCAAACCACCCCGACCCTTTCCTTTGTGAGCACTCCTGAGGACTGACCCGAGCTGGGTTTCTCCCAGTTTTTCCATTGCTCAACTCCGCTTCTCCTCTTGTTCAGAGCAGCCATGGGAGCAGAACCCCATCGTGATGACCTGGTGGCACAGCCTGAAGGAAATCACCCCTTTGTGCATCGAATACACGGTTTATGACAAGTAGGGGAGAGGAAGGGCTGTACTCGGGCACCACTCTTCATCTGCAGCTCCTCTGGCTTGCCGAGGCCTCGGGACCATCACCATCCTCACGTGATGGGACATGCACTTGCCCAAGCCTGGTCCTCTCCCTCCCATGTGCTGGAGGATGGAGCCCTGCTCTGATCCCTGCCTCCGCCAGGGCTAAGCTGCTTCACCAAAGCCAGAGCAAAGGTGTGAAACTCCCCCCATCCTTTTAAAACCATTTAAGAGCTCTGTTGGGGAGCAGAAAAACAGAGATGGCCTCGGTCCAGCCACTTCCTGCTCCCACATATTTTTCTTTTCCCCTCCAGAGACTTATGGCAAAGGGAGAACTGGGCAAGAAACCAAGGGCTGCAGGACAAAGCTCAGTCCCAGCTTCGCTGCTGAGCTGGAAATGTCTTTGCAGGCCTCTGTTATTTTACTGGCTTTTGAAGAAGAGCTTGAGAGTGCGGACTGAGCTTATAAACCTCGTGGGGAGGAAACACCAAGGGCTGTACCAATGGAAAACCCTGAATGCCACCAAGCTACGTGGCTCATGCTTCTGTTCCTCTTTTATATCTTCTGCTGCTCACGCAGGAAAACATGACCACAAAAATCACAAACCATCATGGTGCATGTAACCCACGGTCTCGGGAGATGATGGCTGTGGGCTGTGAGATGCTGCTGCATAATTACTGAAAGGCAATCAGTGCTTCTGTAGGGAAATGCAGCAACAGAGCTGGTCTGCGCTGGAGCTGCGCTCCTGCACCCTGAAACCCCCGACTTCATGCGTGTGCTAGTGACCAGGCATCGCTCTGGGTCTCACTAAACCCTTCCTAGGAAGAATGAACTCAAGGAATAACTCCTTTTCCTCTCCCTTCCCTTTGCATCGATACAAGCAGCTGCTGCACCTCTCCAGGTCTCCAGCCGGGTGCAGGATCCTTCCCGCAGCCCTTTGTGGCACAGCTGGTGGTGGCACGCGGCTGAGCATCGCTTGGCACTGCTGCATCCCTCCCGTCCAGACGGGTCTGGGTGTGTTCGTGGGCCTCCTGTGCGTTTCAGCTGGCAGTTTGTGGGGAGAGGATGGAAACTGGATTAAAAAAAACAGGCTGTTCCAGATTTTTCCGCTCGATACCTGGGCGTTTCATGTCAGGGAGGGCAGAGCGATGACTAAGCTGTGTGGGCCAGAGGATTTTTCTAGCTCTAATTGCCAGGTGCCGGTTTGCTGTTGAGAATTGTGCTCCCTTTCCCATCCTATTTACATTTACTTATTTTTTGAGTTGCTCTAGAGCTGGAGGATGCTGTTGGCGTGGTTGGATGTGGGATGGGAGGGGATACACTCAGAGGAAACACCAGCAGCTCTTTGGGAGAAAAGGCACCTCATTCTCCCCTGGCTGGTCAGGTCTGTCGTGGTAGGTCCTGCTGAGCACCCTCGGGTGATGGAGGATGCTTGTCTGGATGCGGCCACCGTGGTGGTTTGTGTTGACAGTGCACCCCAGAGGCGTCTTCTTGTGTCCCTTCCTCTTCCATCCTGCACCCCACATGGTGGCACGAGGGGCCACGATTAGTTCATTAAGGAATTTTCTGGGTTGCGTTGGGAATTCTGCCTTGTTTCGGAGTTGTGCGTGCGTGTGTGTTTATGTCGGGATTATGATTTTTTATTTTTTTTCCTTTTAGGGGGTGGTGGTCGATTTTTTGCTTGGTAGAGTTCTGTATCCTATAAATGTGTGTCCTCCTCTTCCTCCAGGTCCTCCTTCATAAGAGTGTCAAGAGGAACGATCCAGCTGTCCCCCAGCTCACCGTTGAGGTTCACCTTCTTCTCCTGCATTTCGGAGGAGGTCTCCATCACCTCCAGCGTGGGGTTATCGTGGTAGCCGTTCTCCATTGTCTGCAGCTCCTCGGTCAGGCGCTGCTGCGAGGAAAGAAAACCCAGAAACCCCAGTGAAAAACAGCTTGGCCCTGCTGTACATGCCACCTCGGGGCCATCACCTGCCAGCCAGCCGTGGCTGCTGCCCCGTGTAGATGTATACAACTACATAGAGAGACTTTCACAGTGAGGCTGAGGCTGGAGGCTGCAGTCAGCGCCGGCGCAGCGAGGGGACAGCGTGGAGCTGGTAAGAGAGAGACTCTGCTGATGGTGGGAGGGAGGAAAGAACAGCCAGAGACATGTGGAAAACCTCCCGGAGCATCTGCCAGCTTCAGCCTGGCCACGACTAGGTCCTGCTGGGACCTTGGGGAAGAGGCTGAGCATCGCAGCCTCACCCCAACCCTGCGTCCCAACTCCTGCCTCCCTTACTTGACTCTGTTCTTCCCCTCCCCTTTCTGTCCCTTTTGAGCTGCTTTATTAATATTCTCCCCCTTGACCCCAAGGCCAGCTCCGATCTTGCAGATGGTGCCCCCCCCCCCCCATTTCTCCCTCCATAAACATCCTCCTCCTCATTCTGGAGCTCAATTAGGCAGGCAATGATGAATCAGGCACTGTATCACCCTGCTCCTTCGGTAGACCAGGCTCCTATCCAGCCCTTCATCCCCCTGGCAGACCCCCAGCCCATCCTAATTTTGCATTCACCATGGCAGTTCCTTCATCCCTGTCCTGCCCTGGAGGGATTCACTGGGCAACCTCAGTCCTTGGTCATCCCTTTTTGGGGAGCACAGGACGCTCTGTGGGCACCCCTATTAAAATCTGCCTGGATTTACAGCTTGATCTATTACAGTGCTCCTAATAAATGTCAGGAGACAGGCGTGGGAGGGAATCCATGGAGAAGGAAAGGGATGGAGAAGCAAAACCGCAGGGCTTGGTGCTAGCGGGGAGGGGGGGATGGCTGCAAAGGCACTGCTGGGGGTCCCCTGGGTTGCACGTGGCAGGGGGCTGTGGGCAGGGGCAGCTGGATGCTCGAAAGCAGAGGAGGCACCTGGGCTCTCACGGGGGGCTGTTTTGTCTTGTGGAGTTGCTGGTACAACCCTCAGGTGGATGCTCGGGCAGCACTTTCTCCCCCTGTGGCAAGGCACCCCCCCCCC